CTATTTTGAAAAGGTAAGTTCTTTCTTATGCTAGCACATGTTTGTTTACAAAGATGCATATTTTATTGTAGTTTACATCATGCATCATAACTGTTGTTTGCTGGTCAGATAAAGTGGTGAATTTTATGTACTTTTTTCGAACAAGATCTTGTATGTTTGGTGTCCATTTGTTTACTTTTAAATTGTTCAGGTAGCCTAATGAAGAATTAATGCTTGAGGTTTAAATAAAACTGTCTATTAAAGATGAGTCTAGAAGGAAATTAGCTTGTTTGAAGTCTGTTTACTCCTGAGGCCATATTTCTAGCTCATTAGTTTTCAGTTTTCTTAGACTTATCAATTATATGTTATATGACTGATCATCCCTGTCAACTAATGTCAAAGGTCACTGTCTGGTATGGGTCAGTCTTTAATAAAAATGACATTTGTTGACAGCTAGGTGATCAGAGGAGCCAGATGCAATCTCAGCGGAACAACCGTCGATATCAGAGACTGAAGCTTTCGGTCTCGGCAAAACCTAACCAACTAGAAAATCATTTATAGGCTGGATTAACACTGCCAGCAAAGATCCTCTGTTTTTCTCACATTCCGATCTTTCGTCGGAAATAGTTAAGGAACTACCCATAAACACAACAACAACAAAACAAATATTTTAAAAACACTTAGGGTGTGTGTTTTTTAAGCCACATTTTTTTTCCATATACATTTGCTTGCCGAAAAGTCAGAAGACAGTCACTAATCACTCAATAAATTTTTCAATAGATAATAATGATGATGATGATGATTTTACTTAAAATAATAAATTTGCTTATAAATGAAAAATAATTTCTCAATCATTAAAGCCTTTAAAAATAGGATTTTGCACAGTTCATGCCAGAAGAAAACTCTTCTTATGATTGTACTTTAAAAGCAGATACTTGGGACGACATAGTGAAGTTTAATTAAGGCTTGATCAGTCGTTTTCTCCAAGTTGTGACACATGCATTGATTGGTATGCAGTGTGACGAGAAATCTGATCCAGCCCCATATAGCCGGCTAACTTCAGCCAGGAATACTAATCGTCTTCCATCCGGGCAAACATGCTAGTAAGGTTTGGTCAGATGTGCTTGTGGAACAGTCTTCCTCAGTATCTTTGCTATTGTTTGATACCTGCTATCCACTTTCAGAACCCATCTAAAGACAAATTTTCCATGTTGTTTACAACTAGCCACTTCCCCAGTCTTTCCAAGATGAATCAAGCTTATTCTATTTTTTCGGTCTCATCAACAACTTTGATTAGGCAACTAGACGATAGCTCTGTGCAGATTCCTGGGTTGGATGTGGCAGGTTAGGGGCAATATACCCCCCTCCCCTTTATTTGGTAACACTGAAGTAAGCCCCCTCTCCACTTTCTGTATAAATGCCTGTGTAGCCCCATTGTAGAGGTGTCGTGGTCGAGTGGATACGTCGACGGACTGTCGATCTTGTGGTCCGTGGTTCGAGTCCCGCCACGGCACTAATGTCCTTTGGCAAGACATTGATCTACATTTGCCACACTCAACCCAGGTGATGTAAATGGGTACCTGGCAGGAATTAATTCCTTGAAATGCTAATGCGCCGCAGTGGCTGCCTTGCTAAAGCCAGGGTAATAATCCGGGCAGCGCCAGGAGCGTCACAACGTGACGGACATGTGCGCTATATAAGAAGCCACCATTATTATTATTATTATTATTATTGATCTTCCTTCCGGGGGGGGGGGGGGGGGGGGGGGGGGGGCAAGGGAAATTATTTACCTGGCCATAGACCCAGTGCAAGTTTTTCCTGGGCTTTTCACTAAAAATATATAGGGGAGGACTACTCTGGGCTAGATGTGCCACTGAACAATTACTTTCTCATCATGTCGTGATGTTCAAGGAATAAAAACATATGATATTGAGAGTGAGAGAGAGAGTGTGAGTGAGGGAGAGAGAGAGGAAGAGAGAGGGAGAGAGAGAAAGAGAGAGAGGGAGAGAGGGAAAGAGAGAGAGATTAGGGGGGAGGGAGGGAGACGGGTAGAGTGAATAAAGATCAATAACTCGACGAAAGAGAGAGGGATAGTAAAAAAAAAATAATGAAAAGTTTAATTAGAAAGACAAAGAAAAGGCGGAGTCGGTCCTTCATAGATGAAGACTTTTTTTAGCAGTGAGAGTATTGAGCACTGAAAAGGATAAAGGAAGGAAAGAGGAGAAGAGAGGGAGAGAGAGAGAGAGAGAGAGAGAAAGAAAGGGGGATATCTAGAGTAGATGTGGACTTGTTCTTAAAGCAATGAGTCTGGTGATCAGAAAAAAATAATACATTGGACAGTTATAGTTATCATGCAACGTCTATTGTTATTATATGGGACTACTACATGCTTGTATGCTTGTATTTAATAGTCATGACGTCATCGTTCTTGCCATTTGCGCGTAAATGCACTCCTTTTAAGACTTTTTTCTCAATTTTGGATTGGAATTATTAATGTAAAGCCCATCACATCTAGACGACGATTCCATGATAACATGTTACTCCTTACTGTGCATTTTTCTTTCTCGTGATTATGGAGGGGAATATTTAGCATAAAAACCCGTTACATCAAGTTATATCCATGAAAATGTTTCATTTTGATTTTTTTTTTGTCTCTTTGATGGATGCAAATTGTTTGCGAAAAACCCTCTACATCAAGTCAATTCCATGAAGATATGTTCTTTTAAAAAATCTTTTGTCTCGATTATGGATTGGGGATGTTAGCGTAAAACCTCTTACATTGATTTTTTGTCCCAAAGGATTTGAATCGGATACGGGCACTGGAGGAAAAGCCATGAATGCTGATTATTGTTGTGTTTTGATAACGTGGTAGTGGTTACATAAACACTCGTCATATGAGAGTGTGAGCATGTTTGTGGATATTCATGATGCAAGTTCAACATCCGCAAGGTTATCGGAGCGTCAGAGCCAAGATTGCTCTGCCACTCAATGGGTTTCACCATTTTATAAGAATATTATAAATCGAGCTCTGAAGCTCTAATATGCTTTCAGGCGGCAGATTTAGAAATTTAGAAAATGGCATACAATGTCTCCAGTAACCTTTGCTGGGCTTTATTTTGTCAGATAAAAAGCCTTAGAGTTACAGTTGTAATGAAGGAGAAATGTAAGATGGGAAATTAAGAGGAGAAAAGATGGAGAAGGAAGAACAGAAAACAGGAGAATACTAATACTAAAACCAAAAGAAGAAGCAGAGAAAAAATATAACAAGAGGAAGGAGAAAAAGAAGGAGAAGAAGGAGGAGAAAAAGAAGGAGGAGGAAGAGAAGAAGAAGAAGAAGGGAGAAGTAAAGAAGAAGTAAAGAAGAAGGAGAGGAAGAGGAAGAGGAAGAAGAAGAAAGAGATCGAGCAACAGCAAACCACAAGAAGAAGAAGTAGCTATCGCTGAGGCAATAATCTCATCTAGCGGTCATCACTCGAACGTAAGAGCGTCCATCGAGGGGACTGGGACGAATAGCTCAGCTAGCAAACATGAGATGGCCAATCTATAGTAACCCTCTGGAATCAGGATACGATTTCAAGACAGAGCCCTTCAAGTGTCAAGTTCTGCCTATCTCTGCCTTTTTACTGCCGGCACATACGTAATCCTTACGCTCTCTAAACCTGACAAAGGAAACACATGAAAAGGATATCTGACATTCCGCTAAACACTTCCTAGTAGAGAATGTTATAAGATTTCACTAACGTTAAAATGATCAACTATTATTATAAAAATCACTGCTTTTTTGTAATTTTAGATTGATATGCAATTATCGCATTTTGTTACGAGTACTTGTTTTTTCAAAAGCACACAATCACATTGTGGACAAACATACCATCATACTAAACATAATATCAAATGTAGAAATTTGCTTACTTGAAATATTGAAAATATATAAGCAAAGACTTTTACTTTGATTTAACTATTCATTCTAATCTTGTCTTAAACTCTTTGTAATAGAGTTTGCTCAATACAAGATGATGAGCATGCAAAATTGCAAATGGTGTAATAAAAACAATATTTAAAACATAAAGTTGATAAGATTATGATATTATTAGGAATGGCAGGCGGCCAACAATTATTAAAATGACTTGTACTTTTCTGCAATTTATGGTACCCCCAAGAGCTCAGCTGGATACAGGTGACAGCATAAACATTTTGGAGCTCTTGTGGAACAGCCTTGAGATAACAGCTAGTACCATGCAACAACAAAATGAAGATAACACAGCATGTGGGAGAGAAGATGTGTGTAATTTGTCACAGTTGAAACGGGGACAGACATATCTGTCAAATACAGAGGTCAGATATTTCTGCATTGTGGTCAGGAAACACAAGAAACAACAGTTAGGTGAACAACAGTAAGAGAAAAATTGACCTCACTGCAATCAAGTGGAAATATGAATATTACTGATCAGGTTATTCGTAACTTTACGCACAACTTTATGCAACGCCCCCCTGGTTATATACAATCAAATCAAGTCTGTGATATACTTCTACCACCCCCGCCACTAACAGTGCCGTTGATGCTACTTCTGCTGCTGCTTCGACTTCCACGTCTGCTTCTTCAGCAAAGATTCTAAGCTTTCCAAAATACAATGACCATTTTTAATCAGAACTTGAAATATTCAAAACTTATCAAAGGTCTGCAGAGAAGCATTTACCTGGTTTAATTTTGGCATATTGTCTTAGAAATTCTTGTGGTGTTTATAAATGAATCTATTCTCTTTCTCCCCCCCCCCCCCCCCCTCTCTCTCTCTCTCTCTAGAGCTCTCTCTCTCTCTCTCTCTCTCTCTCTGTCTCATTTAACGATTTTGTCTCAGCTTTTCCAACAAAGCTACACTAGTTGTCTGGAATTGAAAGTGATTTAAGAGAGAATAAAGATTTCTTAAGAGAGAGAATAAATTTGTGTAACATGGATGTTCTTTCTTGTTTGATTGATCATTTTGTTTTAATATTATCTTCCATCTCTTTTTTCAAACTTACAGAGTATTGACTCCAGTGCAGAGGATAAAGCAGCAACCAGAATCCAGTCAAGCTACAGAGGACATCTAGGACGTAAACTATATCTACAACGCCTACTCCAGCAATTCAACAGGGTAAATTAGTGGGGTTTTTTCTTCTGATCCTGTTCTCTTTTGTATGTTTTTTTCTTTGAAAAATATTTCTCAGTAAAGCTGGCTAGTGGCTACCACACACAATTTTCCATGAAGCTCTGTATTTGGATATGTATGGTTTGTATGAATAAGCCCCCAACGTGTGTCATTAATAGACAAATTGCTTGGTATATGAGCTATCCCCCTCCCCCCTCCTTAAAAAGGAAGGTGTGTATAAAACTGCTGATCACGTCTTTGATTATTGATCATGAAAATCACATTTCATAGATGCATGCGTGTAATAGAGCATTCACAAAGGTTCGTACGAACGATTATTTTGTACGAATCTCTCTGTTTTTCCATTGTCTTCCCGAATTTCCATTGTCTGAAAATCGTTCATACGGTGTTCGTAGCAGTTCGTAATGGCATTAGTGACCGAGGCTTAACCACTCGTCCATGTGCAAAGGAAGAAAGTAATTTTTCAGGATTCAGCCGTCCAGAGTGTCTGCTCTTTGTTATGTAACCTTAATCATTACTGATGACCTTAAGTGCACTTTCCATGTGTACGACTATCCTTCAGAACATTGCTACAAAAACTCATCTCTAATCGGTCTCTGCATTAGCAGCATAAACAAAGACTTGTCCAACACTCAGTACGCAGGAAAGTGCCACAGTTTTTGTTTGTTTAGTTTTTAGTTTCTGATTATGAAGTATTATTAAACGTAATACGCTTCGCACTATCTTCAACACACCGGTAGTGATTTAGCAGAGGACCGTTTTTCATGCAGAAACTTTTTGCATGCACACGGGCCATCCATTTACACACATTAAAAGCTGCGGTGAATTAAGTGCGCACCAGAGGTGCCAACCAGTACGATTTAATCGTATTTAGTACGATAATGAGAGTGGAATACGATATCACCTCTTAAAAATACGATATTTAAAAATATTTTTTTAATACCCATAAAACCCACGGAATCACATTAAAACATGAACAAGTAAACCCCCACAGCCCCAACAAAAACTTTGCTTTACAATTTTCTCTTGAAATTTTAATGAAAGAGCAAACATTTTACTTGACTGTACGTACCAGTATCACATTTTTCTGAAATTTTACTGGCCCGGGGCCAACCGGCCATTGGTAGTGTCGAGTTTTCGTGAAAATCTGATTTTTTAGGATACTCGGTCTATTTTCAGGGATCGCGCATTTAGTAGAGACATCATGCCCTGTATGGGATGACTGTAAGGGAAGAGGACAAAGACGTTTGAAGAAAAAAAAATTAAATATATAAAATGGACAAAATCTGGACTACCATGGATCAAGCACTATATATAATGCTAGTTTAATACCTTATACCTCTATATCCCAATTGCAACCATTATGCTAATCCTATATCTTTGATCAAATATAGTCTGGAGCAATAGTGATGAGCAAATTAATGTCAGGCCAAGTAAGGCATTCATCTGTTGAGAGGCAAGGGAGTGTAAAGACGCACTATAACATAGAGTTTATGCCCTCCAGGATCTTTGCGGATGAATAAAACAAAATGCTGACGAATTCAAGTTTGGGAGAAGAGAGGAAAACAGAATTTAACAGGTTGAGTGATCAAAATCCTCTAACTCATAAATGATGAAGTATAAGGAAACAAATGATTGAATTTTCAGACTGTTCTATTTTCATCAGTCATGTATCAAGTCATTAAGCAAGAACTAGGGTAACCGATAGAATCCACTTGTATAACACATAGATTTCCAAATTTGCTTTGCCACTTTCAAGGATCTAGGTCATGAAATGACCATTTGAAAGTGCAGAGGAGTTATATCGTTTTCAAAGTGTCTATTTACTATTGTAGCATGTTGATGTAAACTTATAGTGTGGAATCCATCTTCATGAAGATTGAGATATAACATTTTTCAAAAAGCTGTGACCACTGTCACGTTCAGCTCAGTTGGTACGAAATAGTTAAAATAGTTAAAGAAGGCTTACTTAGACCAATTTATCCAGACCCCCCCCCCCCCTCTTATTTTCAGCATACGCTTACCCTGTTGCCCTAAATATCACTTTTGGCTTGAAACCTTCCCAAATACGATATCTTATGTTTACTTGAGTATTAGAAAATGACTTGCACCCTTACAAGTCTGCTACCAATATCAGATCATTCACCTCAGAATCAGAGGTATATCATACTTGTTAAATCATATTTCAGAAGGAATAATAATCACATTCATTTACCCTGTTTCTCTGACCACATTGAGAAAGGAATTGTGGAAGGTGAGAAGCAAGCACATAGCTCTAACCTCTGGGAGGCCATGTCAAACTGAAGGTGATATGAAGTGACCAATTGGAAAATGCAAATAGGCCAATTTGAGGAGTGCAAATAGGCTAAAGGATGCCCCCATGGTGGAGTGTTTTATTATTCATACCCGGGACTTGTTCCCCTGCAGAACCCTTCTCAAAGCTGTCCTAAAGATGGTGACGTAGTCCTTCTTGCACGTCCACTTTAAGGCTGATGTTTGAGAGAAAGACATGAAATGTGCAGGGCTGGCTGGTGCAAAAGAATGCACGGTTGTTGTAGATATTTTGATTAGAAAGTGATTATCATGAATAATCTTTCTCCGAGTCGGCTGATGTGTATCTTTCTGTAACTACCTAGCTCCTCCCCCACTTCTTTCCCCTTCTTCCTGTTTCTTTCTCTCCTCCCCCCCCCCCCCCCAGCCCTATCTCACTGATCTTCCTCCTTTCTCGTTCTCTAAATTTGTTTGTTTTTCAACAGCCTCAACTTGCCTTTATCCCACCTTCCCTCTCCCTCTCCTTCTCCTTCTCCTTCTCCTTCTTCTTTTCTCCTCCCTCTCCTCCTCCTCCTCTTCTTTTTCATCACATTTTCTTAAACAATATTAATTATCTTCTCTTTTGAGCTTGGTCCCACTTGTATATTTTTGTGTCCTGCCTACCTGAAATTCTCCCATACTTCAGTATTCCATCTCATCTTTCTATCCCCTATCCACTGAGCCCTCATCATACTGGTGCTTGAAGCCATTCATCAGTAAGCTCTGAATCTTGTTCTGGGGATTGGCATAGAGAGAGAGGGATCATAAACCGTGTCTCCATTTTGGCAAACTTCTCAAAGACTTAACTTTAAGATATATGTTTCCTAGAAGTTTTCTGCATGTAAAAACAAACGGTATTTTGTGGCTAAATGTAATGTAATCTACCTCTTATATCCCACTCTTATCAGACCAACAACAGATGGAACAAAAACTTCCATTTTTTTGAATAACTAAGAATTGATCGCTATATTTGAATATTTATCAAAGTTAAAAATTGATATTTTTTAATATTTATGCAGGCTGGGAGTTAAGAAGTTGCCATACTGTCTGTTGAGAGCCAGAAGTAATTAACTACTTGCTGAAGTAAATGAGTTAATGCCCTTCTGGCTCCTAGCTTACCATCTATGCTTCAGCTTTGGACGCTAAGCAAAAATTATCCTGCAATTTGAAATCTTTGTGCAGTAATTGAGAAATGATATATGAGTTTTGTCAAAGGGGTAATGCTTGTAAAACCTAACTTCCACATGCTACCAAATCTTTGGTGTGGAAGCGCCTCAAAGAAGGTATTTCTGGTTCCAAGCCGACGGCCAGAAGGGAAGTGATGATGAATGAAGTCTAGACGCAGAGATGAGCTGGGTATTAGCTGGTATAGCTCACCTCCTAATTGCATTGTGTCGGAGCGAAAGAAACGCCTTCAGTCACGGAGATCGTGCGGTGGAAGATGCATGCTGGCTACATGCAGGCAGGTCCAGGGGGGTGTTTCATAAAGCTGTTCGTAAAGTTACGCATGACTTTATGAATGACTTCAATATGAAAAGCCAAATGGGATGCTTGATCATTATTAACTGCATCAACTAAAGTTGAACTGTGCAGATGTAGATCAACAATCTTATTTAACAAACATTTTTAATGCAAAGTATATTTTTTTGCCATAATTTAATTGAGGTTATTGGAAATATAGTCACACTTTGTTAAAAAATCAGGAAAAACTTTGGGCATCCTATCTGGCACTTCATATACAAGTCGCTCGTAAAGTCATGCGTAACTTTACGAACAGCTTTATGAAACAACCCCCAGGCTTGTTTGCAGGCACAAACCCTTGACAGATATAGTGCGTAACATTGTGTCTTCTATGAGAGATGCTTATGGTATTCTGCATGCATAGGCTCTGTTCTGATACAAACCCTTTTCAGTCGCCATGCATATTAAGAGAATGTCTGAAGTCTGAACTGCAAGACTATTTAGACTGCACTGTCTACCACGCTCCATGGCTCCTGTTCTGTAGCTGATCTTGACAAGACCAGAGACTGAGAGAGCTAGGGTCAGCTCAAGGCTTTATGAATTGCAGTTAAACATCAAATTAAAGTCTGTATCTGCAGGCTAGGTACTGGCAGCTCCCTGCATGTAAGATTAAATCTTAAGTCCTTCTTGTAACTTTTCATCCCATCTTTCTACTGCCTGAATGAGTGCATTATAATTTTAAAGAGAATGTTGATTTCTTGAAGAGAAATAGCATCTTTCAGAGGAACTTTTTTGTAGTTATTCTATAGTGTTTATTAAACAGGAAATTATCTTCATATAGTTAGGGTCCATCCACAAAGTTATCTTCAAATTAAACTACCGTAAGTTGTTCTTCGATCAAGATCTCAATGAATGATAAAGGAAGAAATGGAGGAAGAAATATGACACTATGATATTTGATAGGAAAAAACAAAGACCAAGATACAAACATCAGACAGATCATGTGCACATCTATTTTGCATTGATGCTCTAACACTTGCTTTAGCGGCAAGTTCTCTGAGCGTTATTTTGTGAAGATATACAGTGTTGGTCTAGGGTTATAGGGTTGCACTGTCATTTCGGGGTAAACTTTAGGTTTAGGGTCAGGCACAGTACCTGGTCTAGGTTTGAAGTTAGGCATTTAACAGCGTAGGAAATTAACCGCAGAGAAATTGTCACAGGAGCTTGTGTCTTAGAACCGTCTGCATGGCCTCTTTTTGCCCTGTAGCCTCAATAGCATTCCAATGTCATAGCGCTTAACCTCTGTAGATAATTGAATTACGGCTGGCTAATCATCATATTTTCCAAGCCATCAAACTCCAGCCAGATGATGTTGACAACGTATACATTACAACATACAGTAGACGATGACGAGCACATGAATGTCTGTACGTCGGTTTCAAATGTCTTCAAATGTCGATTGGTGATGACGGTATTGTCTGGAGCAAGTCTAGGATGTGCCTTATGGTTGTATATATTGTAAATGCTATTTTGGGTTGAGGTATAAATATGGATTCAGTTTGACAAAACACACAACAAATTCCTGAATTTTTCAGGTTATATGGTTCATTTAGGCTAGTATTAATTCTGCATGATGTTTAAACAAATTTGATACAATAACAAAATCCAGGGCTGGTTTTCAATTCGATACTTTGTTTAAGTGAAAATAGTACTTAACATTTAGCTTATAGCAAAGTAAAATGTCTTAACTCATGTTCAGATGACATTTAAGTAATTTACTTTTGCAAGCCACTTTAATACATGGTCAATCAAAAGTAATGCACATTTTCTGAGTCGCATTAAATGCACACTTATATATTTGTGTGCAGTTTGATACCTGCATATGAAAACCATAAGCCTGCCAATCAATGAATCAACTGAATAGCCAAGTATTTATTGAAGCCGAAAAATAGGTAAAATACTCATATTGCAAAGTATCTGAATTGTTGCTGAGTTGATAATTCCTGCAATTTACCGAAATGTGCCATTGCTCAAAAGTGAAAAAGTTGTAATATTTAGCCAAGATTTGTGTCAGTGCCTATGATACTAGTACATCCATATATGATTGTAAATGCCTCACTTTATTATCTTCCAAAGGTTGTATGATGCCTAAACAAATTTGATACTACATAAAATCCAGATTTTAAGTTGACTTTTTTACCTACATGTATATCTAAACCTTTATTAGGTTGATTATTCCTGTAGTAAACCAAAGTGGGTTAGTACGCCAGCAGATGCCCCCTAAAGAGCTGCCATTTGTTGTTGACATTTAAAGGCAAAAATACGCCCCTCTGAATAATTCATTTTGGTACTCCCTCCAAGTTAAACATGTTGCTCAAACAGTATAGATAGAAGAAGTTCGCCGGCGCAAACCTTTGTCAGTCTTTGCGCGTAACAGTGCCTGTGAAACGAGACTACATTAGTCTCTGTACTTGTGCCCTTCTTGTTTGACACAGCTATTGTTGTTGTTTTAGTTTTTATGGCATGTGTCATTCATTTATGAATATTTACACTAGAAACTGACAGATATAGGCTCTGCTCAAGGCTTTGGGAATTGTGGTAAAGTGTCAAATAAGAGTATCTAGTTGCAGACTAGATAGAGAGATGAGACTGTCTGTATCCAACTTGAAGAGAGATAAATTTTGGATTGGTGGCTATGTCGTCCGAAATATCAAATCATATTGTAATGTAAGCCACATCTGATAAACAGTAGATGCTAACATGCTCTCCAGCTTTATTTCTTCACAAAGATAGATGGATGATAGGGTAAGGTTTGTGATTGAGGTACAAGGTGAGGCATGAACAATTATTTTGTTTTCTACCTTTATTTTTTATTTGATCAGGATGAAGAGCAGAGGAGGAATCACATGTTAAAGCAGGTTGAAGAAGGAGAACTATTACTTGAAAAGTAAGTGATTTATTTCAAATTTATTCACTACGTAGGCCTATATTTATTTGAAATATCATCATGCCTGAAATTGAACTCAAACAAATTGTCAGGTCAACACATGACATAGTGTATTTTTATCATAGTCATTTATTATCACCAACCGGAAAAGAAATGTTGTAGCTATTAGCTTCATATACTAATGATTTTTGTTTTTTAATGAAATGGCAGAAGACTATGAAAGGTACAATTTGATGATATTGAGCTTTGACACAAACCAATTGCCTTGACAACTAGCAAAAAAGAAAATCAAAGAACAGCATACTTTCTACACTGCATATAGCGAACGATGGAAAAAAAGAAGAAGCGCAATTCCTTAAATGTCATCTTGCTTGAAATTGATATTCCAATATCTAAAACTCTATATTCAATCATATTTATTTCACAAAAATAGGTTACAAAGTATCTGAAATAAACAATCAGGCAGCTCATGATTAACCACGGGTAAATAACTTCAGTCTTGATCTGTTTCCTGTGATAAAAGGTCATGATCAGTTTCAAGTCAACGCTAAATGTTGTTCTTCGGTTTTCACTTGAGCTCTCTGTTTATTTATAAAGGGAAGATTGTTTTTCAGCGAAAGCTTAATGATTTAGATTTGAAATCTGTACGCTACATGGCAGCTGGCGAGGTGCAAACCAAGTCGCTTTATATAGCCAGGTCTCAATGCCTCGTTCCAACAAGAATCACTTGTTATGACGCGAGACGGCGTCTCAAATTGCCCTGCATCCGAAAACGACAGACAAACATTCTTCCAGCAGGAGAAAGGGGGGGGGGGGAAGATCCGACCACGGACGTCATGGTTTTCAATTGTCGCAAACTCCAAAGTATTGCATGCTCACGTGGGGGAGTGTTGAAGATTTAAGAGGGAGAATTGATTTGTATTTTTAGATCGGGAATGGTACAGGTATTACAGGATGGTGGCTCTCTATTGTTCCTTGAGAGAAGGGAGGTATATTGGAAATTGATTTCATGAGCATGAACTGAACCAGCTCAGGTCAGCCATCTTTGTTCTGTACTATTCTTCATGTAGCACATGTACTAGTGAGATCAGTCATGATCAGTCCAATCACTTTCATTTAGTGAAAGGCATACCGATACATTTCTGTGGAGTAGAAAATGTGCAAACATTGTGTTGCGAATTAGCCTAAATCTGATGACCGGGGTAATAATATGTGCTGCGCCTAGAAATAAAGTATTAGAGGCATTATGAATGTGAGCTATTAATCATTATTATATTACATTTTCACAAAAGAATAATGAGTTCTAATAACATTTGAGAAAACATTTATTAAGTTATTTATTTACTTGTCTTTTTGTACCCAAGTTAGCTTAGTAATTGATTTTGACATTGGAATCCTTCGATAGGATACTGTCCTTATGAACACATGAAATGTAGCATAATACATGAATTAGAAAATGATATAACACAAAATTTAGTTCCAGTAGACATCTTTGAAATCCATTTTTTAAAGAAAATGGCATTAGCAATGTAATTAAAAAGGAATCGCTCGTTCGAAAATCAATTTCAAGTGTGAGACCATATTTCTATAATCCTACGTGTATGTCACATTTGTGTGTATCCTATTGCCCAATGTACCCCATTCTGTGTGCATGCATTTGTTTTTCAATGGCCTGTCTGTGTATGATCGTTGTATCATAAGATGAAGATGCAGAAAAGCGCACGTCATCTTTATTTACTGCTCTTTCTTTCTCTTTTTTCCCTTCTTTTTTGTTTATTGTTTTTTGATTTTTGGAGCAGTTTATTGCCTCTAGTCACGATGGGCCTTGGCTGGAATTGAAGTGTGCCTTCAACCTCCTTTCACTAATCCAACCTACATGTAGCTGTTATTCAAATGTTTAAAGTACTTTAACACTATGAAAAGTACATTGTTGCCAATTTGAATCTCAAATCTGTACAGCTTTCTCTTTCGTAATCAGTTTCCTGTTGATTACACATTGAATGTTACAGTAGTGCGTGACTGATAATAATCTCCCTTTTATTCAGCGAAGTAGATAGAAGATTGTCAAAGATTCAATTTAAAACCAATCACTGTTTTTTGTTCTCCCTTTCAAAGGAGTGTATTCCATTGGAATGATCAGAGGTGGTTAGATCTTCTGTTGAGACCGGGAAGGGCGTTAACACTACATATTAAACTATAGGAGTTAATGTCCTTTTGTCTCTGAGCTAACGGTATGTAGGATCACTAGCTTTTCTCCAAAAAAAAAACAGTTGTCTTGAAAGAAATTAGGTAGATGCATACCATCACGCCCAGTCGTGTAGCTACCACGGGAGGAGAAAAGGGGGGGGGGGACGGTTGTGTTTTCCAATCGAATGGAGAAAAGGAAAGAGTGGGGAAGTAAAAAGTAGACAAAGGGACCCCTTTGACTCTCTCCCTATAGTGGATAGCCTTTTTTTTTTTTTTATCCTTCTAGTATTAAAAGAAAAGGATATAAAATTTGAGCCAGCATGAAAAAGGCAAGCTGAACAGACATAATTCTTCATCTGTAGGCTTATGTCATGTACTTCATTATGAGTGTAATTGATCACTGCTACGTGGGTGCTATCTTCCCACTCCAAATTATGTTTCTTTGACAAAGATAAAGAGCCATTAGCACTAACAATTGAGCCAGAATTCCCCATAATTCATTATAATGTGAACTATGAATCATTAGACGATGACATGGAGTTTACTGCCAAAGAAAATGTTTAGACTGATAAATTACACTTAGATATTGACAGGTCATGAATTACGTCTGTGTATTGTGATTGCTTTGTGGCCATGGGTAGATACAGGTATTTATTGTGCAAAATTCAAAGTGGAAGTCCACCCTGATATTAAGTTGGGTTTTAATAGGAGCAGAAAATTAGAAGAACAGGCCAGTGAAAGTTTGAGCAAAATCTGATTGAAAATAAGAATGTTATACATTTTTTAAAGTTGCGATCAATCAAACACAAATTGGCAACGATGTGACGTATCTTGCGAGCTCCCCTCCCATGTCAGGGTAGAATCCTCCTTTAAGGCTGATTCTATCTTTATCTTACAATATTTACCTTCGTAAATAATAATGCCATTATGCATTTTTCAATTTTAAAGTGGCCGCTTCAACATGCATTGCTAGTCAGCTTACAGTGAATATACCAATGGATAAATGAATAATACTAATATTGAAGGGAACTTTTTCCATTGCTCTTCCATGGCCAAAAGTGCATTTTGAAACAAAGCTTCCTTTTTAAGGACTTTCATGTTTGTTACAAAAACACAGTTTATTTCTTTACAGACATTAGTATTGAACCAAATTTGCACTATTCTGTTCTGTCACATACGTTGGCAACACTGATTTAAAGCAAATGCTTTTTGCTAATTTTGTGAATGGTATTCATTTTCTCTGCAAGAAACTTTATCAAAGTGCAGAAATTCTTTGTTAGGATTTAATGATTTCAAAGTATTTGATATTTTGATACTGGACCTCTTTACAAAATTAGAGAAATTTTTCAAGAAATGTTATCGAATTACAGAAATTGATTGTTAGGATTCACTGATTTAAAAGTATTTGATGTTGTGATACTGGACCACTTGCAAAATTAGAGAAAATTTACTCATATGAGAGGTTTTTGTTTTACAGTACCGAAATTAATTTGTATGTTAAATCCATTCTTGGGCCTTGTGTGGGATTTTTTGATAGACATTGCACAACAAACTTTTTTTTTAAATAGACAATGCCGCCTGTGCACAACATCTTTTTGGAGTGACATTAAGTAAAGAGACTGTAAACATTGCGATGGTAGACATTTTCCAATATCCTGTGTGCTTGTGTAATACATTCTCCAAACAGTTGTTCCTCTGTAGTTAATCATGTAATAACTCATCTCTTCAAGTCCTTCATTTCCTGCCCTAAGGAACATGAGATGAATTCCAAGAATCTGAGACATTTAAGCTAAGCACAGCATGCACATGAAATATACAAGTCCGTTGGCTTCCACCCAGTGCGCTTGGAAACTGCCTCCATGCTAGTCTGTACCTTCAGGCTAATTCAGACATACTGCTCTTATAATGATGGTTCTGTAGACTATTCAGGTGACAATTGCTAAATGGTCAATTTCCTGCATTCATTAAAAATTTTACTTGAACTTTGGACCAACACTACCCCTAACACTAACCCTAAACATAAACCTGATATGAAATCCAGTTGCAACCCATACCCTTTGTTTTATTATATGGGAAGATATAAAACTTGGAGCAAATGTTGGATCATCAAATAAGAGAACTCTTTCAAAAATAATAATGATAATGATGGTGGCTACTTGTATAATGCACAGGTCCACCTAATGACTCATGTGTCTGATTTTTTCCACAATTATAATAAGCTCAATTTTAAGACCTGTCATATTGAATATGACATGCAAAGCCTGGTTTACACCCATAACAGTTAGCAAAATGAATTCAGTGAGGTGAGGATGAAATGATGGGTCTGATGTGAAAGACTAATCTTAAATTAGAGGTAACTCGTGTAAACCATGCAGTAATCTAGTAAAGCTATACCATCAATCATAGCCCACTACATTAAACTACTCCTTACATGCACCCAGCCCTATCTCTCTCTCATGTTCACGAGCCTGTCTTTTTTTTTTGGTCCTATTTCACTTTCTCCTTATTTTGTCCATATAATCTTTCCTTTTTCTTTCATGCTTTTTCTTTCTTGCCTTTTCTTTCCTTCCCTTCTTCACTTTCCTCTCTGAAATTGTTCTCGTGGCAGAATATAGGATATCCATTGTCATAAAGAAAACAGCTCATGTTGTCCAATAAATTCAGCTCATACTTAATGTTTATTGTATCCTTTCTTACAGTCACAGATTGGAGGTAGAATTTGAAGACAACATATGCGTGAGGAGAAATCGGCTACAAAGATATGAATCGAGGATAATAACGTAAGTAACCCTTCTTGTATTTATCCACGTGAAGGAAGGAAGGAAAGAAGGAAGAAAAAAGAAAGAAAAAGGGAAGGAAACAAATTATAGAAGGACAGAATAAAGACTAACAGGCAAGAAGGAAAGGGATGAATTTTGACAGAGAAATAGAGAGATGGAAGGGAAAATGGAAAAGAGAAAAAGATGGACAAATACTCATCTCAATTTGGCAGATCTTTCTGCGAGTTAGTCTAGATTATCTTCTTATTAACACCCTTTCTGTCTCAGCTTCCAGGTAGTTATTACAGTGAGTGTTTAACCAGTTTGTTATAAAGTCAACCTCTTTATTTCCAACTTGTTATTCTCCAATGAGTGTCAGGGATCTGGGACAACTGACACTCTCATTTCTAAAGAGATTGGTGAGTTCCGAGGAAGGTGAGAAGTAAAAAGGTGTTAACTTCATGGTAACCAGAGAGAGAAAAGGGATGATACAGAGAGAGAGAGAGAGAGAGAGAGAGAGAGAGAGAGAAACAGAGAGAAGGATGATAGAGGGGTAGGAGAGAGATAGAGAGAGAGAGAGTGAGAGAGAGAGAGAAGGAAAGATAGAGGGGGAGATAAGATATGATAGAGGAGAGAAAGAGAGAGAAGGGAGAAGAGAGAGAGAAAGAGAGAGAAAGAAGGGAAGATAGATAGAGGGGGAGAGAGAGAGAGAGAGAGAGAGAAGGGATGAGAGAGAGAGAGAGAGAGAGATCCTCGTTTAAAAGGCAGAAGGGCATGAATTGCTATCAGTTCACAAAAAAGAGAATATGCTGTAGGCTCTCGGCAGACTATACATTTTTTATTTTGGAAGAGAAGACTAGGTATTGTGAACCGCGGTGTGTAATTGTGCAGTCCCGTATTACCATTTCAATTTAGCTACGCTAAAAGAGGTCTTCTTCAAGAGGCTTGACCTGGTTTGAGAGAGAGAGAGAATCATGTAAAGGAGGTTGGGGAGAGATTAAGGATTTAAGGGTGGGATAGATGTGTGAACCTGCATCACTTTCTCTTGGTCCTCTTTCGTTCATCTCCCCCTCTCTACCTCCTTTGCCTTTTATACATTGGTATCCTAGCTGTTTTCCCTATTCTTTATCCCTCTGTATCTCTCTCTCTCTCTTTCTCCCATATATTTCTTTCTTGTATTTTTCTTTATTCTCAGTCTCTGACCCCCTCCTCCTTGCCCTATCTCTTTCATTCTATATGTTTTCTTGTTGTTTTCTTCCTCTCTTATCTGTATCTTACTTGCTTAAATGTATTCCTACCGAAATGGAAGCTGAGTGGTGGATAAAGATGTTTTTTTGGATTTTACAAGATTAGAAAATGTATTTATGTATACGTCATAAGTACAACTATTATCTGTCCAGAATATCCCATTGCCCCCCCCCCCCCTCCCCCTAACAACAGAAATCCTTACTTTAGTGGGATTTGTTTGAAAGGTTGGTGCTTCCGGGGAACACATGTAAAGTGCACCGTCTGATGCACATTCCATTCAACCATTATGAATCGTATGGATGCCCTATGTGTGTGAAATGCTGTATGCTTTCAGCATGAGATGTGAAACTGTTATGATTTAACATGTAAGTAGAATGAAGGGCGATTGTGTCTTCTTGCTTGATCTACATCCAAGGATGGGATGGGGGAGGGGGACACATGGCAGGTGATATGTGCAACCCTCCCCCAAGTACAAGTTAAAAATATCTGTGGGGGGGGGGGGGGTGGGAGGTACAAAATAGCGTTGTGAAAGGGGAGGGGTTTGTGATGAAATTGCATCCAAAGTGCATAAGAGAGAGAGAGAGAGAGAGAGAGAGAGAGAGATACAGAGACAGATCGAGAGAGCGAGGGAAGAGGGAGATAAGAAAATGGTTGAATAGTGTCTTGTAAAGGAAGTGGTGTTTCTAATGAATTGATGCATATATCTCAAGTTTAAGAGACAGACAGATAGAGCGGAAGAGATAGAGAGAGAGAGTAAAGGAGGAGGGAGATAAAGAAAATGGTTGAATAGAGTCTTGTAAAGGAAGTAGGTTTTTAATGAATTGATGCATATATATATCTCAAGTTTAAGAGACAGACAGATAGAGCGGAAGAGATAGAGAGAGAGTTTGAGAGGATGAGTTTGTGATAAATTGATGGGTATCCAATGTGTGAGTATCATGTCCGGTCTCTTTATTTCCCATGGGACAGCTGTCTATCAGTCTACACAGTAGCTGTTCACACAACACTCAATCAATATCCAAGGTCTATTCACACTTCACTTTATTTCAAATACTTCACTCGTCACCTCAGTCAATCTGAAAAATATCATTTAACAAAAAAAGATTTCTGTAACTTTTTGTATTTATCTCTCTAAAACTTAACCCCATTTTTGATTTTGTGTGGGGTATTTTGGGGCCATTCAGATCATTTTATTTGTAAATACAGCAGATGGTTGTGCACCTAAAAATAAATTTAATTTTAGTTATCCTCTGAATCGAAATACTTTGAACATTCATATTTTGTGAACTTTCAAAATCTTATTTAGGAAATTTGGGCAATAAGAATTCACAATTGCTTGAAGATTTACATAAAACATATTTTATACATGTACAGAGGAGATTTAAATTTAAAGCCTACAGTATATGCACTAGTTTGGCTAGGAGGGATTATACCTCCCTGCATGGTCATTGACAGGTGGTTATCTCATTCATTCCTTCACCCTTCACAAATCAGATTGTTCCTTTACATACACCATAGGAGCTGCAATAGGAGACGTAAAGTATTTTGGCGACAATAGTCAAATTACTGACTAATCGCCAATAAGCCAAAACACAACAACAACAATGTTTGTTTTTTGGACAAACAAAAATAATGGGAATCTGAAAAAAGGCACCGAACATTATCGTTCTCCAAATATCAGGATTATGAATTTCAAGACAAAGGGGACCATGGGGGAACAATGGTCACCGATTAGGCATTGTTTGATATATAGAGGGCGTGAGTAGCTATAAAAGTAGTGCAGTGGGGCTTTAATACATTGGACACAGGAATGTATATCAAGTGTATAGAGAGGTGCATGTCGAGGATACATGTTTCAATAAGGAGACTTACGTTTATATTAGAGGTGAAAAGAAACTTGATCTTAATCCATATAGTGGCTTAATTGGCATACCTGGTAAAGCTCAATGAAGGAGGGGCTCTATTAGTTAGATGACATGGCCTTTACTCAGTTGCAGACACTCCTAGGGCGCGTTCATGCTTGATTTTGACGGCCAGAATCAGGCATCTGTTACGCGTTTAGTTTAAAACACGCTTGCGTTCATGCTCACTTTTGTAGAATCACCGAAAAAAGGCGATCACGATCGCCGATCGTAAACTCACAAAAAGATGCGTTTACAATTTGTAAACGCGTTTAAATGGGGTCAACGCACTGACCTCTAGTGGGTCTACGTAGCATGCGCACACAGGTTTGCGAATCCAGCTGAAGGCCACCCAAGGAGAATTGCCTGGAGAAGTGAGCATGAACAGTTCACCGTGGAACTGCGATTACGATGAGCGTTTACGATGAGCGTTACAAATCGCTCATTCTGCCTTCAAAATCAAGCATGAACGCGCCCCTAGATGGGTATCCAGGAGACAATATGTCGTGGTGCAATTACTGATATATTACTGGCAGGTGTTAGGGGGCATACAGGTGCGCATCAACAATTAGGCACGTTCTCCAGGCTATTAACACATCCTGGGCAATGATCATAAGAAGTGGAATTGATCAGTTTTTCTTCTTTAAATTGGCAATGAAGGTATGCTTTAATACCTACATTCATATGAACATGTATACACTTCTAATAAAAAGTGTTCTATCTGAACAGTAGAAAGATGGACAGAAACAATATCTTAAAGTTAAGAATTGCCAGTTTGTCAGAAATAACCAAGATCTGAACAAGTCATTATGTTGCCAATTTAAAGATTTCAATAGTTATTTTCCTCTCTAAAAATTCATGGTATCTAAAGATGTATTGTAGCATGATAGAAATGGACACGGCTGTACAGAATTTTCTTCTTTTTGTGCAAATTCATCTGGGTTTTTTTTCTCAAGATTTCAACATTCATGAAGATTTACAGTCTGTACATGAGCCGATTAGCAGAATTTCACATCTTTTTCCCCTCTTATTGGTTCCCTAAGTGGGAAAAAGGGTTTGGATTTCTCCTTTTTCTCTCTCTATCTTGAATTCTGCCTTGAGGCAGACATTTGATTTGACGAGGGGTGTAGTCGCAAGCAGGGCCCCCTAAAAGGGGCATCAAAATTCAGTCCTGCTTGTTATCATGAAAGTGAAAGAAGCCCATAGGGTACATGAAGGTTTGTCAGCGAAGACATCTCTCTCTCTCTCTTTCTCTCTCTCTCTCTCTCTCTCTCCCTCTCTCTCTCCCTCTCTCTCTATCTCTCTCCCTCTCTCTCCCTCTCTATCTCTCTCCCTCCCTCTCTCGCTCTCCCTCCCTCTCTCTCTCCCTCTCTCTCTCTCTCTCTCTCCCTCTCTCTCCACCTCACCTTTAGTAAGGCAGGTAGAGTGAATCACCGCTCCTTACCTTTCAGGATCCTCACCCCTCTTCGCAGGTGATTTGCATCCGATGCGTCGACTACCGCGCCACTCAATGAGGTGCATTCTGGGCATGCAGGTTGCCTGCAAAAGACTCTTATATGTCCAACGCCAGTGTTTGTACATCCTGGGGGGGGGGGGGTGGTGGTTACTGGCATTTTCAAAGGAATTGTGTTGTAATGAAGTGTTGATATTAAGTTTCCTACTTATGTAGATTTGCATTAGCCCAAAAATGTGGAGTGAATGCGAGGAAAGTTCTTGTAACTTACACAAGTTGTACCTCCCTGGGCACGTATAAATTCAAATGTAGCTCTAGCACAACACAAATTTTCCCCCATTTCCATGTAATAATTGTGATCCTTATTATACATACTTATAAAGATAAAGACCAGTTCTGGTCATGCGATTGCATTGTGAAAGAAACGTTGTGGAATCGATCAGAAAAGGTTGATCATCTAGCATATAAGTATTGGTGTGTACTGCAAGATTCTGGAATACAGAAAGATGTATATGGGACTACGCACACGTGCACGACACGTGCGTTTATCTATCACACACCAATAGATAAACTAATTTACCAAATATATCAATTAGTAGGCGGTTTCCCGGCAAAATTTGTATCATCATGTATTACTCAAAACATATTCTTTCACATGATTGGGAATAAGAGCTTCCATTTCATTTTTTGAAATTGGGGCATTTCCAATACTGGTCTTTACCTTTAAGAAAAATATTCTGCCTCTAGTACATAATAGTTATATTACATTATGTGCTTTAGCATAATAATGTTTTGAAAAGGGGGAGGGGCATCCCCAAATTCCTCTTCACAAGTAGCAATGATTTTATATTTGACCTTCATAATAGGCACTGATAAATGCAATAATGTAGTTTTCACAGGAGAGTGTACCGGTATGTGCTATTCTCTCTTAATATAGTCTTTATTCATAATGAAGACACATACCGTACTCAATCTCCTGCTCTTGAGTTTATTGATTTTGTAGATTTCCAAATTACCCTTATATCGGGCACATGTGAATTACAAGTACATGTAGCTCTGGCAGAACTAGATGTATGATGTTTTCTCAGAATCAATCGCATACAATCAGATATTGGTATAACACATTTTCCTTGGACTTCAAATTTCTTCCAAGGGCTGAATACTCCACAGGAAAATTTATACTGAAGAAAAATACTCCACATCGTATGGACGTGGGTACGATAGGATACCTTCTCCACCATTTTGGGGTAATATTGCAGCCCTTATGCATGCTAAAGCATCAAAAGGTGCATTTATACTGTCAAATACCTCATTTAAACGAATTGCGATGTTTTAATAATAATAATAATAGCTCGTTCTTATATAGCGCTTTTCAGGACGGAAGGCCCTCTCAAAGCGCTTTACAGATAAGTATATTATTACCCCGGTCATTGGATTCAGGCTTACCAGCACACAATGTATGCACATTCTCTACTCCCTGGGGAGCATTCCAGCCAGGCATCATTTTTACAAGCGCTCACTTGCTAATCTAACCACATTAGCTTTCGCATCCTACAGGGTACCCATGTAACACCTGGGTGGAGAGTGGCAAATGTAGATCAATGTCTTGCCAAAGGACATTAGTGCCGCGGCGGGACTTGACCCGCGGACCTTGTGATCCAGAGTCCGGTGACATATCCACTCGACCACACTTGTGCTGAAACATCACCGACTGAAAAGCTCAGTGATATTTTGGCGTGTTTTGGTTGGTAATGCGGATGTGCGGTCTTCCCGATGTGGTTTCTAAAGCGAGATTTTACAGTTTAGTTGCACTCTTTCATAGTGGTTTAGCATAAACCATTTGTTTACTTTATCCAATTAAGGCCTCAAGGACGAAAGCTATAGCCCCACTTCTAAAGTCAAATATCATGATGTTACAGCTGCGAGCGTTTATACTCGCCAAACAGGCCAAAACATGGAAAAAAATCACACCACCTCGGTTTGGAATGTTTCGGGCTTGGCATTTTTGCCGGTAAAGCGTAGTTGCCTTGGTAACATCACTGAAACATCGCGGTCAGGCTCCGGTTTGACATTTTGGGGCGCGTTTGGATGCAAGTGTAAATGGCCCTATAGTCTCCATCTAACACATTCCTAGCCGGCATATCTAGCTCCCCCAATGTGGACCCCACATCTCCTTCAGGTGCGTCATGCAAGCAGAATAATGAATAGAGTCCCTGGAGACTTGCGGTAGGAATCCAGGAGCTTCCACTCAAGTAACCACTCCGTCTAGGAGAACTTCTCAGAATAAAGCCGTTCATTCCTTTCCAAATCAGGCATTTGTTCCTCTATATGGAGCTTCAATGTTTGCCTTGTTCAAACAATAATAAATTGAGTAAACCCTGTGGAACATGATGGTCCCCCTGAAGCTCAGGTTTGTGAAATTTAGGGAAAACCCGAATTTTACATCAACTAGCTTTGTGCAAAAGAAAACCGGTTGTAAACAAATTGGAAAAGTGATTGAAATGTTATTTTCTTAAAGCTTCTCATTTTATTGATAAAGGGCAGAATGTTGAATTGTGGTTATGAATCTACATGTAAGTGTTCTATTGTAGAACATTGCAGTGAGAACCAGGGTGCTTCAAGTTAAAGAACCCCTCTGCCTAGAACTCCTCGGCTTTACAGTATTGGCCGATCATTTCCTATCTTCTGAAGCTGCAAGATTTGCCTTGTTCAAACCAAAATAATGCAAGTCGTAAATAAATCTGTACATAAACCCAAATTTGACATCCAGCAGCCTTGTGCAAAAGCAAATCAGTAGTAAGATAATTGGAAAAATGATTGAAATTGTATTATAAAGCAGAAATTGTGATTAGCCTTGTTTGAGCCCCACATTCAAGTGCTCAAAATTTTTCTAATTTTAAAGTCTTACATGTCTAGATGCTGTTTCAACAGCAGTGTATGTTTTATCAAGCTAGGGGCTTTAAAAAAATATGAATTCTTGACCAACCGAGGGACTGGATTTCTGAATTATTGGCATTTATCAATAAGGCCTCTGGTTGGAAGCATCATCAAGGGACATTTAGTAATGAAGGTGGGCAGGATAATAATGCATTCGCTTAATTTATGAGCCATCAGAGATCCTTAGATGCATAGATCTTGAAAGAAAGTACTAACAATCCGACATTAATGGCTTGTGACCGGCTGTGCTCTTCTGGGAAACTCAATCTGATGACTTCCTCAAGAGTGGAAAGTAGACGTTAAAGAGGTTTTTGTTAACCTATTACCTGCTGGAACGGGCTGGTTTCTGTATTATGCTTATGGGATATAAAGGAATCTGGTAATTAACTGGTTAAACTAAAAAGGCAGTTGGATTTTTTTAGATATGAGTGAAGGGCAATATAAATCTGGAAAAGTAGAAAAGAGCTCTTTGAAATAAATACCAGCATACATTTTTTTCAAGATCAGGGTTAATGAGATTTCACTTTTCTACATACTGTCAATCCAGTCATTAGGTCTTATTTCAAACAAATTTGATTTTTTTTGTAATTTTTTTTTTATTGCTTAAGCTGAGTAATAAATTGGAAGAAAGAAGAAGAAGAATAGAACATGCAGTCCCAAGTGTGTATATTCATGATTAATTGTATTGAAAGATATTTAGCATCAACACAAACACCTACTATGTATCTAAGTACATTTATATGTGTTGATGCTACATGTAAATGCATTCCAAATGAAAATCACAATGTCTCCTACAGGATGATGATTGACATATTTACCCTTATAGTTGCGATTTTGCGGATGGAAATATTGACTTGAGTGAATCCATCAATGCTATTCTGCATCTGAAATAAATGTTTACTGAGAGCTGCATGGGTTTATGTAAAAGCCCAATGTATGTGAATCAATTTCAGCAGTCAACTTGATCATGAACTCTTTAAAATGATTGGCTGAGAGCAAATTTGTTGTAGAAATTTAGCATTTGTTATAGATATAAAGTTTTATGAAACAGGCCCCAGATGAATTTGAATTGTAATTCACATTTATTTTTCTTTCTCCTAAACCATCAATAGACCACACTTATGATTCCTATTATAATGAAATATTGTCTTTTTTGGGTTCCAGAATCCAACGTGCATGGAGGAACTATAAACGGAGGAAAGAACACATCACAAGGAAGGACACATTACAAGAATCACTCTCTGAAAGTGATGAAGACGATGATGTAGACGACAATGATGATGACGATAATGATTTATCAAACGACGTCAACGGTAACCATCAACTACCCAGTGAGAGTGATATAAATTCTTCACAAACAGACCTACAGAGGGAGACAAACCGAAGCGTGGAGGGAGAGAAAGATATTCAGCGTCAGGATTCAACCTCTTCAGGTATGGTGTGTGCATGTAAAGAGATAAGTTCCATCTAAAATCTGAATGGGTGTATCCAGACAATATTTTCCTTCAAAGCTTTGGAAAAAGCTGCAATTACAATTTGTTATCCGAATTTTAATACTATAGCAAATCCAAACGAGCTCAGTTTTAAAACTGAAATATAATTTTCCTCTGTTCTTTTATATTTGTTGTGGGTGACCCGTGCAAATTACGAATTTACATCTTAATGTATTTATACAATGAAAAATTAACAGAACGATTTAAACAAAAACAGGATAGGAATGAGTTGGATCATGATTATGATTCTGGTTGAATTTTTGTTATAACCAGACCTAGGATTGCCAAAGTAATGCACATGTTCAGATTCTTACAACTGTTCTACTGGGGGTTCATTCTTAGTATGTTCAAAATGTGTAAAAACTGCTGAGAACAAAACTATTATTAGATTTTGTACTTCTTATGCACTTTGAATGGTATGACGGCTGCATCGGCCTGTGGCCAAAATAAAACACATACGTGTGTGGTTTAATTCTTCATCAAAAGTTGTTACATGCAGCTCCTTGTTTGTATTTCTGCCTCCTGAAACAACCTTCGTCTCCGAACAGTCTAGCTATTTCATTCTACCAAACCATATCCAACAGTATCAAATATTGCTGACATCTTGATCGGCTCAAGATGATGATAAAGGAATAAATTCAATAACATTTCTGCATCGATTTCCCCGGAAGTCACCCCTCGGTTCGTCAATAGATCGCCTCGGGGCATGGGACAGAAAAAACAGAGCAGATTTATCCGAGCTACGCTGCCCCTGGTCGGATGACAGTAATGATCACAAACTTGAAATTGAAATTGATTTTTGTCCGGATTAATCAACTTTTGTGAGAAGTAGATCCAATTAATTTGAGGACAGTATGAGTGATTTCTCTCCTATGATGATATATGACAGGGATTGCATGGTCACGTTGTGTGTATCATACAACCTCAATGATAGATTAATTTATTTGTTTTACTTTTCATGGTTATGAATGATCATAATGAATTGTTCAAGCACAGAAATGATAAAGGCAAAGGCAAAGGCAGGTGGGGTATTTGGATTTTTTGTGATTTTTGTTATTTTTTTTTAATGATCATGTTTCAAATTACCATTTACATACCGTTAGCAACTGAAATATTCCTACCCTTACAAACATTTTTTTTTTTTTTTAAATTAAGTATGTGAAAAATGGATTTTTCCCGATTTATGTTCCTTGAGAATGTGACATATATTAAGGCTTTCATCTATATTAAAGTATTCAGCAAAAGTCCTAAGGCCATTAACAAAAATATACATGTTTAGCGTCCCTGCCCGCTTCCTTTTGGGGGGGCCGCCTCCTTTTTATGTTTTAAAAAAAAAAAATGTAATAATTTTTTTTAATATTTTTTTTTCTTCAATGAATTAAAACACAAAAAACGTACTTCTAACATGATCTATTTCTGATTTTTAATCATTTTTTTTAAATACCGGCGGCCCTCTTGAAAAAAAGCGTGAATGACAGGAAAAATGTACAGAGCAGCCATTTTGAAGGGAAAAAAAAGGGCCTCCTCCTTCCTATTTTTCAAAGAGGCAGGATGCTAAACATTTTTTTTTAATAATTTGGCCTAATTCAACCAGTTCACCTTTCATTCTTGAGTTTATTACAAAAAACACAACAACATTACGAGGGGTATGAATAATTTAGCAGTTAACTGTATATAAAAATTTGTGTGGCCTTTTGTTTGTGTCTGTCTCTTTATTAATATTTAAATGACTCCTTAATAACTATTAGAGACAATTAATTTAGTTAATTCAAATGTTCTAATGGAACAGTTATCGTGGGTGTGCATAACAAGTGCAAGTGAATGTATGATTCATTTCTATGAAACAGGCAAGGACTATAGACTTTAAAACTGTGTTCATAGTCTATGCCTAAAATTATCTTGTAAATATATTATTGCAATAATTAGAGAAATATATATTTTCCCCTTCAAGTCTATCCTCTTTATTATATAATTTTCTGTTCTGGATAGTATATCCCAATTATTGATATCTGTTTCAATATTGACATAGAAGTACATGAGATATATACACATGTGTACATTCCTTTCCATCTTTGTGTGTTCTATAGTATTCTATTCAGTGAATATCTTGACATAATTGTTGTTTATCTGGTCCAAATGAAAGTAGAACACCCAAACAGATCAATCAACAACCACAGAACATTGAGGTCACTCTTTATATTGTTGATTTGTCCGCAGGTGGTGAGAGCCAGTCAGAACCTGTTGCCATGACAGCAGTGGGAGGATCCAAGAAGGGGATCGCTATGCTGCACGACCTGGGGAGCAGCGTTGAGCTGGACGACAAAGCCTGCTATGAAACCTCTCCAGAAACACCAAGCCGAAGACGCCAGGGTATAAACCGCTTGAGTCTGGCGGAGGAGTTGGCAGCCATGGAAGAAAGAATCATGGAAGACTCGCTTGATTTTGACTCGCAGAACGAGGAGAGCGATTATTATGCAAGCTCAAGTTGTGTGACCTCACCCGAAGGGGAGGGCGGGAACGAACACATCGGCAAGAGACCCGTGGTGTCGTTGTCCAGGAATATAGGTGGGAAAGAAACTCCCAGCCCTAGTGAAATGAGGACTACAGAGGGCTCCCCTCACATTGAGTCGTTTGATCAGAATAAAAACACAAATGATTTCAACGCTAACGCTTCTTCCTGCCTGATGGAGGAGTCTGAACTCACCGAGGCTCTGGCCAAACTTAAGACCAAGCTAGGCACGGCTTACATGGACAACCAGACTCCCTCCAGTACTCTACACCAGGTTGATGGCAATGAAAGGAGCATTAATAGAGTAGGGGAAACAACCCCCAATGAAACTAATCGAGTGACACATTCAACGACTTCCTCCATACTGTGCAGCGCCACGACGCTGACTCATAGTCAGTGCGACCCTGTGCACAGTGCACCAGCAACAACAAGCGCAACAACCACAACAACATGCAATCGGGGCACAAACACGCAGACTACGGTCACGAACACCACCACCACCGCACGTTGTACAAACTCTGACCCCTCGGTCGGGAAGAGGTCGATTAGGGAGGGTGGGGCGCCCCCTAGAGGTGGGGTATGTAAGAGTTCAGCTGGTCTTGATACATCCTTGCCTGTGTTGGATTGGGACTCGTTGGAGAAACACCTTGCAAAAATGGAAAAGGAAGAAGAGCAACAACAAAGTGCTAAACAGGTCTGTATTACCTTTTCCTGGGCTCAATTTTACTACAATTATAATTTTTCACTTCAAAGGATTTTCTATCTACGGTATATAAATACTGTAATTCTCAGACTGGGAATCCACTTTCACTCTAGAATGGTTTTCAGTCTGTTTATTTTTGTATTAACTCACAGTTCTGGTCATAGTGGTAAAATACGTACACATGTGATCTGGAATTTGAACGAAAGTAAGAAAGGAGAACTGTAGATATTTAAAGCTACGCAGATTGTTGGGATCAATCGATGGAGGAACAGAAATAAAGGAAGATTACAGTGTGCCAATTAATGTGCAAATTCAGGATATATTGAAAAATGATGTGCACAATTCGTCAGTCTTTGCTTCAGATGATTTGGAATGTCTTTAACATGTAATTATGATGTTTGGATCCGTGTTACCGAGGTAATTAGATAAAATAGTCAACAAATTGGAACGCTTATTAAGCCCTGCTATAATGGCATTCAGAAGAATGTGTACCCCTTTTTATGATTCAATATTATTAAAGCGAGAAAAAGCCATAGAATTGTAGAGTTGGCAGATTTCAACCTATTGAATGAATGTTCAACCTCAAAGACACTCTGGATTAAAGCCAATGCATGTGAAGGTGTGTTGAGTGAAGAGGCAATGATATCTAATAGGTTAAGGGTGCAGCTACAATTCTAAAACATGCTATTCAGAAGTTTCTATGGCAACTAGAAGTGACAAAGAAACGACAAAATAGTTTGGAGTGTAGGAAGGAAGTTGTATTAGGTCAATTGCATGCCTGTGTTATTCCTGTCTGTCTGCTGCAAAGTCAAGTGTAAGCTGTATAAAGAGTCCTGCCTATATTACTAAAGTTAAAACTTCATCGAGTGTGCATTCTGTAAAAGAGTTTGTGATGATTCTTAGCTTCTGTTGTTCATAGCTAATAAGACAATGGTAAGTGTAGAAACAGCAGGATTATAACCAAATTGAGCAACTTGGAATATGACAGTGATGTAGTATTCCATATTCATTGTGCATGTAAAAGAACATGAGAACTTTGGTAGAAGGAGTATGGATCTAACTAAGTTTAGGAAACTGTTGAATGACATCGACTTCATGCTTTTGATCAAAATGTCTAAAGTGTTAAAGAGTCTATTATATGTCTATGAATGACATTGATGATTCGTCTTTCCTCACAATCAGTCACAGAAGAATTCGCGGCAGGAGATACTCCGCAAGCTAGCCATGGGCGCCGACGAGGAGGCAGAGGGCGACATTTACGGCAAGGGACGGGACAAGCTCTCGGCTCGCCTCCAGGGCGGCATGAACCTCCAGATCTGCTTCGTCAACGAGAATCTTGACTCGGATGATGATGAAGGGTCAAAGGTTGTTGCCTTGCCATCTTCAAGCACTATTCCTGGACCTATTGTAGGCAATAGAGACAGTCGGTACCTGTTTAGCAGAGAGTGTAGCGCAAGTAGTACCAGCAGTTCAGCTTCTCCAAAGGTACGTTTATCCTCTATGTATTATCCATTGAAAGTCAGAAGCTAGGGCCTTAATTCATATCATTTGACACAGAGTTAATAACCTTCTGTCTTTCAACAAGTGATATGACTTCAATATTGATAACAGTTTGCTTAGGTATCAATAATTAGTTATTGGGCACAGGAGTTGTTCAAACTTTTGATCATTTCAAAAAAATAATTAAATGATTGTTCTGTTCTTATGCAGGCATGCTATCAAGCATTCAAGGTGGGCTATCCCTCCCAACTCAACAGGACAGGATTTAGTATTGCAGAAAATTGAAGTTGTTAAAGCAGACAATATAAGATTGTTTTATTTGCAGAGCTTTGTCGAGGTTGGCTTTGTTAGAACATATATGCCTCAAACAAGTCTCTCTCTGTTCTAGGTTATTGTGAGGGTTAGGTTACGTGTTTGATCCAGAGTTGAACTTGGGAATTCAGGTATTGTAAGAAACTGATACTGTACATGAAGCAAAGCAATAGTCGCCAGAGAATGTTTAATAGAATCTGTAAATATAACTCTTCCATATTCAACTCCCAGTTCTTTTTGTTTCACACTGCCATTTCCGTCTTTTCTTTCTCTTTGCAGGCTCCATCAGTAACATTTGAAGACATTGAAGACTTTGAATCAAAGAAAGCACACCTGCAGGAAGAGGCCAGGATTGCCTGGTCCAAGGCGGAACCACTGGCTAAACTACAGATGGAACTGGAGAGGCAACAGAGAAAGTCCTCGCCATCATCGGCCCTGGTAAGAATAGTTATAGGACAAATATCCCTCTAGATTACCCCCTTCCCCCCTTTATCGATCCCCCCTTCACTGATACAATTACCCACTGGGTACATATCTGAAGCATATGGGAGTTGGAGAGGCAACAGAGAAAGACCTCACTGACATCAGGGGGGCGTTTCACAGAGCCTTTTTTCAATGACAAATGACAAAAATCAGTGACAAATCTGCCGATGACCAATCAGAAGCAAGCATTTCAGTAGCTTATAACAAAAACTGTCATTTGTCACTGATGACAAGTTTTGTGAAATGCCCCCCAGAACACTGCACATGGAGCAGGAGTAGAGCTAGGTGTCATTGTCTAGTGGATAAGTCATGGGGCTGTGGATCACAAGGTACAGGTTTAGAATCTGTGTCAGAGAATAATTATCGTTTGTCAAGGCCTAAATCTGCATATGCCACTCTCAGCCCATGTTTGATAAGTGGGTTCCTGGTAGGAAGTACCTCCTTGAATGCTTGAGTGCCTGATCAGAGCAGCTACATGTAGGCTAGAGCCAGGGTGGTAGGCCAAAGCTCTTTTGAAGCACATAAAGATATACACTGTTAGATATGTGATTTTTCTCCATTAGTGGTATTTATGCTGTAAAGGAAAAATTAATTTGTAGTTGGTTTCTAACAGGTGTCTGGGGTATAAGTTGGCATTGGTTTGCCCTGAATAGCAGTGTGAAAATACATGTATTAGGCCTACATAAAAATATGTTGTATTGCCCTTTGCGACCCCAAAATCTTGAAATTTTTGGTCGACTTTATAAAAAAGTTTTTTTTTTTAACATTTTTTTAGAAAAAAATGTTTTTAAGCATTCAAACTGAGAAATATCAGCCCAAAGAGGGGGGTAAAAAAAAAAAAAAAAAAAGTAAGAAAAGACCGACCCATGTTTTGGCACCTAAAGGGCAATGCAACATCTTTTTTTTTAGGCCTTATTCCTTGACGCCGGATCAACCGTCTATCTTTCTCTTTGTCACAGTGTCATTTATCAGGTTTAGGTGATCTACCCATCAGTTTGCTTGGGAAACGATTCCAATATAAAACCTTGAGCAGAATGAATGTCAGCAAACTACAAATCATCCTCAATGATCTCCACTCACAAATTGAAAGTAAGTTGTCTGCTGTATTTGTCTAGAAGATCAATTTTGTTGATGTGAGTTGGCACTATTTTGATGAATGATATCATGAAAATGCACCTGTTTTGTAAAAAGTGCTTTACAAGAAATATGATGTTTAAAGGTAAAGACCAGTTTTGGAAACGCCCCCCTCTCAAAAAAAGAAATGGAGGCTCTTATTACCAATCATGTGAAAGAATATGTTTTGACTAATACGTGATGATACAAACTGATTTTGCTGAGAAACCGCCTAATAATTGATACATTCGGTAAATTATTATATCTATTTGGACCTGATAGATATAGCGCATGTGTCACGCACGTGTCGTGTAGTCCCATATACATCTTTCTGTGTACAGTGCTTGTAACTTTACTATAAGACTGAGCCAAATTTCTAATCATTTTGATGATTCCAGAACCTTGCAGTACACACCAATACTTATATGCTAGATGATCAACCTTTTCTGATCGATTCCACAACATTTCTTTCACAATGCAATCGCATGACCAGAACTGGTCTTTATCTTTAAAAGAAATCTGATGTTTGAGGATGTCTGAGGATTACCTCACTGCTAGGAAATCATGTATAGACATGTGATTAAGTAACCAGGGGACATACCACTTTGAGTCCTTAACAAGGATTAATGCCTTACCAAAGGGCACGAGCGCATGGACTTGGTTTCAAACCCAGGACTTTCCGGTTACAAGACCACTGCTCTACCACTGAACCATCGCACCTTTTCATATAGTGTACTAAATGTGTATAATAAGTGGCTATGGCTCACTGGATAATAAAAGAAGATGCTTTTGTAAACCAGATTGAAGAAGAAGATGAATCAAATCTCTTGATGCCTTTATATGGGCAAGGCATTTTGTGCTCAGTTACATATTGTACCTTTTCTTGGTGTAGGACTTATTAGGTCCTCTAGAGCTTACTTGAAACAGAGCTGACATTGATTTCCAGCATTTTGTACCAACATTTTGAAATATACTAAAGTGTTTGTAAAAAACACTGACTACATCATACTGAAATGTACTAATCAAAGTTTGTAGCTTTGTTTTTTTACAAATGTATTAGATTTCTTGATGGATGATAGTCATCAGTAAATCTTCACTTACAACTTTAAAAGTGAGTTTAAAGAGGCAAGCCATAAGTTGTCTTTTTCATCTTTGCTCTGCAGGGCTGAATGAGGATCTGGTGCAGTGTCTGCTGGCACGGGACTCCCATAAGAGGGAACAGGAGTCGAGACTCATCGACATAGAGGATCTGAACAGGTGGATTAGAATGAGTGAGTCAGGGGTTCAAACCAGGATGCATCGATGTTAAAACCATTGTCTACAGGAACTGGATGGTCCCTGCATTAAGCCTATGGGAATGACATAGTAGTCTAGGAGTAATTGGGCCATTGTTTAAGGTCATGGGGGGGGGGAGGTGTCCTTGATTGCTATGTCATTGATATCAATCCAGATAAAAAGTTGGGGTGGGGATTAACCCTTACTTTACTAAATTTGTAGTGTTATTTTTATTTTTTTTTTGGGGGGGGGGGGGGTAGTGTGATCAGGCAAAAGACATTACATTTGCCATGCATTACACGTTTTCTTTGGGAGCGCTAGGGGAGGGAGTATAAGTTTGAGTACCAGTAGCTTAATTACATCACAGTTGTTCAATTTCTGGAGCAAATAGTCTGATTAAGGATTTAGTGGGTGGGTAGTTTCTTTACTATACCTCTCAAAATCGGTCTGCTTAGAATAATCTAAAGTGCATACACTACATATTGGATACCGGTAAACTAACCCTCACCAAAAAAGAGAGCAGATTTGGGGATTATTATCAGAGACAGCACTAACTCGGAATGAACATCATCTCTAACTGATATTGGAATGCATCTAATCTGTGCATGGTCATCTCATCTCTGCATAGTTAAAGATTGAATTGCATTGCAAGCCTACGGGACACCTGTGATACGACTGCGATCTGGGCCCTGTTTCGTAAAAATTGTTATCAATAACAAGTAATATGATATTGGTTATAAACTACTGAAATCCTTGCATTTGATTGGCTGTTTTAATAGCAGAACTTTCATAGATCTGTGGCAATTGTTACGAAACAGGGCCATGAGAGATACATTAAATCAGATCGCATTTGGATCATATGGTGTACAGTATACATATTAAGTTAACAATTAAATTATTCATACCCCTTGTAAATTTTTTTTTTTTTTTTTTTTTTTTTTTTTTTTCGTAACTCAAGAATGAAAGGAGCTAGACTGGTCGAATAAGGGCCTCTAGCTGTTGAATACTTTTAGATGTAAGCTTCAATAATTCACATTCTCAAGAAACATCAATCAGGACAAATAAAGTTTTCACATTCTTAACAAATTACAAAACTTGATAAGGGTATGAATAATTTAGTTGTTAACTGTATGATTTGATCACTGTGTGATTCAGTGTGATATATGTATAATATGTGTGTTGAACGAGTTCCATTGTCTGTACAGTCCCTTTGTTTATGACTGTATGCATGTATTAAGACATTCATGAACCTCCTTCTATTTTATCATGCTTGTGTACTAACAACCATTTTATAATGTCACAATGCACGTTTGTAAATTGTGTGTTTGCACAAGCATGCTGTATGTTACATATACTTGCATGATTTATTAATTTGCTTGCATTTCATTTTTTGGAGTCAACTAATATTTTGTGTTTCTTTCGAATTCTCCCCTGCCTCCAAGTCATCATGGTGGGTTAAACAATCTAAATATATTTTGGGCTGAAATGCTGGATCTTCCACTCTTACTATTTTCTGGACATATCGGTTATTCTGATGCATCACATATTCTGTTTTCTCAAATTCTCTGGAATATTTGGATCTGGGTACATGGTGTATGCAAAGTTCTCTAATTCTGTTATCATTATGGATAAATTTCAATCCTATTTGGTAGGATTTGATTTGAAGATTTAGATTTGGAGCAAGAAGGGCATTAATTTGTATTTCATGAGACAGAGTGAATACCCTTCTGGCTCTCAACAGACCGTCAGCATGAGGCAGGTTTCAGAAGGAGTGGGGCATAAAGCTTTTTGATACACTGGTTCACTAATCCTAGATTGTTAGTATTTTTGTGCAATTTTCCAAAAAATGGACCTACTGAAAATTCTTCTTTACTTCTTATTTGGAACTCTCTATATCATGTTTTACATGCACTATTCATAGATGTACATGGATTTCTCCCCATGTATCACCCCCCCCCCCCCCCCCCCCCCTCTCTCTCTCTCTCTCTCTCTCTCTCTCTCTCTCTCTATTTATAAGTCCCGCTAGACATCTGCAAGATGCATGCTACTAAATTAACAATCTTCATGATCAAAAGATTATACTTCATAGCATGGAATAATCATGGCATCCATAACAAGGATAACTAACATAAAATGGGAGCAAATTCTTAAAAAATGAAAAAGTCTTTTTACTCTACATATGAGTAATAGTTTCATTCTTAAGTACCGGTAGATATTTAGGATACAGCATCGCAGTAGTGCCAATGTTTCCCTTTTTTGCCTTTATTTCTTGCCATTTGTGCGAAAAGAAAATTGATTTAAAGTGGTTCCTTCGATGCACCCTAGTTGTAAACCCTGCTCATTGTGATGACCCGAGTCAGGTCAAAGTTCACTCAAGGTCATTCTTACTGTTTGCTGTTAATAGCACTTAATTATTTTGGAAACAAAATTATCAAAAAGTCAGTTTTGTTGGTATGAGATGGGCAAGCTCAGAATTCAATGTATATCGCCCGCTTGATTACGGCAGTGCTAAGCAATCTTTGATATTCATTGTGGATGTGCAGAAATGACCTTTAACATTTGACCTGACCTGGGGCATTTTACTCTCTATAAATGATTGTCACTTTCATCCTATTTCATGTTGTTTTCTGTCATAAATGTTTCTCTCTTTTCGCAGATGAGTTTTAGATGTGGTGTTCATCAAGTGCTCACCTTCAGTTTTCTGGTTGCTTTTTCTCTCTATCTTTTGCAAGTATTTTTTTTTCATTCCAAAAGCAATGCACAAAAGTCACTTTTCACAGTTTTGCCTTTTCAAAGAAAGTTATGTGATAAACAGAATTCAAGCTCATGTAGGCTTCATTGACATTAGTTGCGTTCATTGCATTCAGTAATGAAATCTAAAATGTAAATGAAAGAAATTTATTTTTATTGAACATATCAAATTTAAATTCAAATATCCATACAAATTGCTCACAATATGAATTCCTACGTGTACAATACATGATACAAATGCAATATTTTGTTTTATATTGACTAGTGTCGGTACATATATTTCAAGGACACATTTATGACCTACACAAACCCATTTGCATTGCCAGGTCAAATCACACATATTTTATAAGTATTTATTTTATGTACCTCCATGAAGCGCATACAATGTAGATGTAGCTCCATGTAGCTTTGTATTTGATGTATCATTGCTATATTGAGTCCATGTAGTGTGAAGTCTCTTGATATGTATTCGTTTGTAGATGTGTGTATGTGTCCGTATCATATCGAGAAATGTCCCCCTATATGATGTATTTATATGTTTTAATTGCTCTTTCTGTACTCACTTTGTCATCAACGCTTTTCATCTTATTCTTTACTTTGATTAGACTTACAGCAGAACAACAACAGCACACTCATCAGCAAGGAGCCTCTCGGGGAAGACGGCCGTAAACAGCGCCACCAGTACGAGGCCCTCCTCCGTCTCCTAGGCAACACGCTGCCCGCATCAGGCAAGAAGTGCTTCTGCGGGGTTAGTCGTAGTTCCTCCGTGGTCTCCAACCGATCCGCTTCCAGTCCCGAACCGGACTCCATCGGGGGTATCCGACCGGCGCCCCTCAGTCCAATCAGCCCAGGGAGCTGCCGGTCCGAGTCGGCCGTTAACAGTCTCACGGAGAGCCACGCCTCCAGCCCCGAAATGACGTGGGTTCGACAAGCCATCGTACGCTACTGGCATAATTGACCCCACATCTATCTCTCCCTCTTACTAACCCACCCCTTCTTACACCCCTCCACCACTTATCAGCTGCACCCCTATGGCTCCTTAAGTTCCAGCATGTGTGTTTAAGTTTCATAAGACATTAGTTATCATACAAAATCTTCTCTTTCTTTTACATGTAAGTGAATGGTAAGTGGGGATCAAGCAGTATCTGCAACAAAGTTCTTTGAATCTATCTGTGTGTTAGAAGATATAGCAATGTGATGCATATTACGCTCACGTAATTAAAAACCTGCCACGATTTACCGAATTCTATAGTATGTGAAGTGGCCTTTGAAATCTGACAGACACTCTTTAGTCCGCAAAAACAGACTCTAATATCACCCTTTGAAATAATCATGTTTTGTGGCCCAACCCAAATACTTGTAGGTGTATGCTTCTTATAGAAGACAACAAATTTGAAGGGAGTAGAAACTAAATTCAAATAATTTGTGTTTCTTACAGTATAAAAAATGTTTGAATGCAGTGCCAAGAGCCCCAATGTTTTCATGTAGCAAACTATATTAAAAAAAACAAAAACATTAAAGATGATTAAAAATCCTCACTTCCTAAGAGTCAAATGTAAAAAAAAAACGTGTAATTTTTTTTTAATTAAACAATTGTGTAGGAATACCAATATTTTTAAATTTTCATTTCAATCGACTTCTTTTCTGACCAAAAAGATTTGAAATGATTTGCTCTCTTGTGAGAATTGTTCTAATCCACCAGTATTAGGAGGTTTCTGAGGTTTTTGAATTATTTTGTGGAAAATCAGCTTGAATTAAATTGCCAATCACACATTTGAGGGAGAGATACGTGTACTTGTTTTAAGTTTAACATAATTATTACTTCTTTACTTCATGTCCATGTCAATTTGATCAGACAACATAATCACTAGCTTTTGAAAATACAATCTCTATATTCTTAAGAAATGCATATATTTGTAAAAAAGAAAAAAAAAAGTATTTATTACATAATCTTGTTTAGGTGAGGATACAAATGTGCACCATCTTTATCGTGACTTTGATAAAATGGTATTGGTTTTTATCACTAAGAAACGATTCAATATTTAAAAAGGAATGAAATGCTGCATGAGAATCTGTCTATTATCTAGTTATTCACTTCTCAATGGGTCAACGTTTGCTTGCTAGAAAGTAGACTGAACTTTGGGATTCAACTCTGCTTTAGAAAACAAAATATTGCCAATACACTTCATGGATAGGTGTCACAGATCCTGGGCAACATAAAACCACAACAAAATGATACGCCACCAAAGACAAAGATTACCTGTACACACACATATTATTTACTGCAGCAACTGTTTCAAATAATATGGAACCAGATAAAAATGGATCAGAGAATTGCACTTCAGTTTGTATATACACTGTTTCAATTGATACAAAATATGTAGTAAAGTGATCTGATGTACATGTATTTCATTTTGTGTGTGTATTTTGAAATTTTATTTTTGTAGAAAAGCTAAAAATATCGTTTAAAAATGTGAATAACCCATGGTGAAAGAGCAATAAGTAGAAAATGATCTCAAATTCATGAGCCATATTTATCCTTTCTTTATTAACGTACAAAACGTGTTTTATAGTCGTAGCAACAAGTCCATGAAAAAAAATACTTTTTCTTTACCAGCTTCAGTGGATTTTCTCATTGAAACATGTGTGTTAAAGGAAACCTTTTTATAAGGACCACCTCCCTATGAACCATTTTGGGGTCTATCTGTCTGTCTGGCTTTTCTGTTTTTTTCTTGAAAATGCTCCAAAGCTGTTGAATACTTTTTGTTAATGCTTGAGGTCACTCAGCTAAGCTTTTCATAACATTTTTTATCTTTCAAAAAGAAAAAATATATATGGCTCATTTTAGATGTGATCATTTTTGTACAATTTGATTTGCTTTCTAGTTTGCTTAATACTGCTTTCATTTTTATAATGCAAAAGATTGAAATATTTTTGTTATCATTTATGTAATAATATCCCATGCTTTCATTCATGCCATTTGTATTCATTTAATCATCATATCCTTTCAATTGATCTTGTAACTGACCATAATTGATATCTTCTTTTTGCATTGCTCATATCAGTGTTAACATATGTTAATTTCTATTATTTGTTATCAAGTGTGTGCTAAGAGAGAATAGAATTATGCAGAGACATCAATCAGTAGAAATCAAAATCAGGCTAGATTTGATTTCATTCTATGAATGCATAATTTGATATATATGACGGGGCATGGGATATCATTAATAGCTCATTTGGTCAGAAGATAGTTATGATACTCTACTGTTCCACTTATCTGAAATTATTATTTTTTAAATGAAACTACTAAAATCTAAGAATTGGATGTAGATATCTTGTGAAATTCTGAACATAAAATTGACAATCTTCGACACTTAAATCTTTAATATTCTTATACACACTTCAGTTAATTGCTCAATTGAGTGAAATCCTTTTCTCTCTGGTATATATACATCTGATTTGAGAAAAAGTTTAATTTCGCTAGATCGTTAGTTGCAAATCTGATTGTTTTTTTATAATTTCTGATGCAGTTGTCTTCCATGCTGAAACTATTTTTGTTGATTCCCAGTTTGCCAATAAATATTATCTCGCTATATGTCGACTACACTGAGAGGATTCTTCTTCTTGTACATTTACAATGTAAAAAGTTTTATAGTAAGTTTAATCCCTGTGCATACATGTATGTACCAGTATATTGCAATCCTATTTTGTAAACTAAGTAGGAAAGTGCCATGTACTTGTATTTTGACAGACTTCATGTAGTCTGTAAGCACCGACTTGTTGTCGACAATTACATTTTTGATTAATGTTGCATTGAACCAAGTCTGATTTAACCTTGTATTATGGTTGCGAGTCATGAACTACAGCACAGGGGTTATGTAGATAGTCTACAGACAAGGATTCGCAGACCCTGATTTGGGTTATACAATGTTTTGGCAAGATTTGAGTATGTTTGATGCAGACTAGGTATATAGATTTCTTGCTTTGACAGTTTGTATATGCATCGTGCAATCAACTACATGTATCTGGGAGACATATCGTTGTTGACAAAAATTTGAATGGTATTATTTTTATTTTGTTGCCAGTTATACTAAACCTTTGAATTTAGTGAACTTTTAAAAAAAAAAGCACAATTGGGTAAAGAACATATGAATGGAATTATTAGAATATCAAGAAATAAAATATAATTGTTTCAAAAACCAAGTTCTGTGTTTGAATTTTTGGTAATCTTTGCTCAAATAGAACCAGTTACTCTTTAAAAAACAAACAATGTTCAATAAATATGTACATGCCAAGATGTGTGCTGAAAACATGGAGTGCTATATGTGGGTTGCTAGACTAACGCTTAGGTAATGAATTTCAAAAAGACATAGGGGCATTGTGTGTACGTGTTTTATAGCATTATGATCGTTAATTTGTTTTCTTTATCCTTAATAAATTCTGATCGCAAAATTATAGTGTATCATTACCAACATAATTAGAAGAAATTTGTATAATTTTATTATATCTTGGGATTTGAGATAGATTTTTGAATTCAGTCTGGTTTTATTATGCTGTGCATTAATATGTGTTACAAGCTTACTTAAATGTTCTTAAATTGGATTGTTTGCTTCATTTTCGGGAATATTTACAATTACACACAAGAGCATGTGGACGGACAGAGTTTATGGAACGTACATACAGTGCAAGAGAGAGCGATGGGTAGATGAAAATTAAATAATCTGTATTCATGTAGCTTCCTGAGAAGCAGAGGAACGTTGCAAGATTTGCATAAGATAACTTTACGCCTCAGCTATCCATAATGTGTTTCAAAGACGTGCATTTGAAATTCTCACAATCTTGACATTTTTGGAGAAAATCTGTATAAATGTAAAACAGATCTGAATAAGCTCAAAGACAGAACCCGTTTTGGTAAGAAGCATGCAATTTAACTAGTCATTCGACGGCAATTCATAAAAGTCTGCTAGAACTTTGCATGGTGATGGAAGTTTGTGTGTAAATACATGTAGAGTGAAAGAATGAAGACTTGTGTTTTTATTTTTCTAATTTCAAAGAAATAAAGCTTGGTGTATATCTCGCTTCTGTACATTATAGACCTCCCTCCCCCATACTGGCGGAAGGTCATCGAACTATGAATTGTAAAATGCATATTATAAATACTAATACATATTGATTATGACTGAAGAAATGAATGACTCATTTTACAAAATAATGTTGATGTAATTATATATATGTTGTATCATTAAAGGACTAACTAAAAGTGACTTTAAAACTCTAGTGTTGCCATGCATTTTATCATTCTTAGTTGTGTGTGAGTAAATATATATCAATGTGAGACTTTTATCACCCCCTCTCTCTCTTACTATCTCTTTCCATTTCTTTATTCTGTCTCTACCCCTCTCATTCTCTGTCTCTTGTTTATCTCTCTTTTATAAAAAATAAAAATATCTTGATAATAGAACAAAGTCGTAATTTCTTTAAAACATTGTATTTTCTTTTCAAAATCAGATTAATTTGGCATAATATTCATGCAACAGAATCCATCAACATACCCTCAATGGAAGTTTGTAAAGAGCATTAATATACAAAGGAACTTGATTTTTACCAACTTTCTACAAGCCTGGATCTCCAGATAATCTAACATGAAAATAAATGACAGATCAGACTCAACTTTGTACTTGTAGTGCAAGAAATGTAAGATTGAAGGATTGCAACATTATAAGACAGGGCCTACAGGGGTCAATGTAAATGGGCTCCAGAAATACAATTAGGGGCACATTTTGTGTAGGCCTACTTACAGTGCAGTGCCTAGACTGTGTTTAAGGGGGGGGGGGGGGGGGGGGGGCGGGGCATGAGCAAGGGATGTGCCCAACCACCCCCCCCCCCTTTTTTTTTTACATTCACTGCTGATTGCAAGCCCTACTTATGTACATATATAGTGTACAAAGAAGGTATACTGAAGCTAAAGTGCCAAGATGAGCTTTGTGTTCTTTCTTTATCTCAATGTATCATTCATGTATACATACCAAACACCCCCCCCCCCCTTCCCCACAGGGTCCATTTCTTGTTCTTTGATTGTAACTTAACAACCCTTATATGTACTTAGTACCTACATTTATATACAGATAAGACATACGGAAGAGCCATGATGGCGCAAAGCCTCGTGTTATTTCTTTCCCTCTATCATAATGATATGATAACCGTGCTTCGTCTTGACTGGAGGGTCCGTGTAGATGGGCTTGTCTGTGCTGCTGGGCTGGAGAGCAAACGCTGCATCTTGGAAGGGTCCTACCATGGAACCTCTCGTCATCCATCCAAGGTCACCCTGAGGTCAAAGGTCAAAGAAAGAAATTCATATCACTGCTCATTGAACATTCCTGTATAGTGTAAAGCACTTACTTGTATTGGTACAGTGTTGGGTATTTTAGAAATGCAGTATGAAAGGCCTACAAGAATGCAATTTATGATTCAGAAGTACATTCGAATCCTGGCTAACCCCACAGAAAGTTGGTTAAAAAACAATCAAAACTAAAAACTATGCTTCCAGAAACAAGAATATAATAACGATTGCATACAGTACTACTAAAATGCCGGAAGACACTAAGGAAAAACTCATTCAGCCAGAAAATAATCAATGTGTGGAATGGTCTTCCAGGCGATGTTGTGGAGAGTACCACTATCAATCCCAAATCTTGACTTGAGAACTGGTGGAAAGATGCCCCAGATAAATATGATGACAACCCCATCCAAAGGCAACCATGGATAGGAACAATAGTCTAAAGACTGAATAATTCTGGATCAAGTGAGTTACTTTCCTATCATATCCAAATGCAGATTTCATCAATGGCTTTTGAACTTCGCCAAATTTCTTGACCATTATGATTCAACATGAACAGCAAAATAATATCCCTATATTTAGACCCAGTGTTTGATCTGAGCTCATATGTTTCTAACATTATGACTTATTTGTCCCTAGATACAATACAAATACTAATATCTAGTGGATGCTACTTTGTAAAGACTAAATTTCTTGACATACCCCTTGTCTTGCTTTGTCTTCGCTGTATTTCTCTGCTACTGAATTAAATCTCTCCCCGGCCTTTATCTTCTCCAGAGCTTCCATAGCCTTGGAATGCTTCTCACACAGAATGTGCCTAACCTGTAGTAGAAGTAGTAACAAATGAAATACAATGTAGTAGATGCAGACAATGTCGTAACATATAGATAAAGAAAAAATGAAATGGAGACATTTGAGGAATTGGATATCCATTAAAATTCACAGTAATATCGAAGTATTAAATAACAGTTAGACACTTAAAGCCCCACTGCATTACTTCACTTGTAGCTACTTGCTCCCTCTATATATAGAAAACAATGCCTAAGCAATGCCTGTTGGTCCACCATGATCCTCTTTTTCTTATGTTAATTGAGAGCTGAGTTGATGAAAAAACCACCGGTCAGTGACCACACTGGGTGGTCTAACCCCCCCCCCCCTGGCCAAACTGATGCAGACAGGCTTTAAGTGGTTCTGTATTGCAAGCAACTTTAGTAGTTGAAGACATTCTTTCCATATATAAGGGAATACCTTACAATACAAGGGGAGATTGTATTAAGCAAAACCTTTTTCATAAATGAAGAAGTTGGAATTGACAAAGAAAAAAAGACAAATCAATGAAAGAACATGGTTTATCAAATTCAATGCTCTATATCACATATCCTCCTCCTCCTCCTCCTCCTCCTCCTCCTCCTCCTCCTCCTCCTTCTATCTTCTATCTTCCATAAAAACTAATATGAACAAAATAACTCGCTATCCCTGGATACTTTTCCAGTTTATTCCTTACAAACTAGAGAACTAGGTATTTAAAGTTACACATTTATAGAATATATAACATAATAGTTTTCTTTTTTACTACCGTGAGCTAGCAAAATTGAGAAATGTCTGACCTTCACAGTACTAGTTCCTCCTTTTTTCTGCTTTCCTCCACTATCATCATCTCCTGTGGCTCCACCTTTAATGAGTGAAAAGACAAATTTATAAATGAAAAGATTCACAAATCATTGAATCATTTAGTTAAAATAGTCATATTTGTAAGTGCTTCAATACAAACAGACAAACATCACAAACCACTCCTACAATGCACAGGGTCTAAATATCGAAAATGGTATTGACTTCGTACCCGACTAGTGCTAAAAGAGTACAAATCTTGCACACACATCATGCATATATGTTTGAACAAAACGAATGGGAGAAAAATAAAAATTAATGTTGAATTAGTCTAGTTAATTTTCAATATGATGCTCCAAAATAAAAACTGTTACCTTACGTAATTAAGTAAATGACCGTAATAAATTAGTTCTGTAATTTCTAACTATTAAATTCAAAGTTCTAAATCATAAATAAAAAGTAAAACCAAAAAAAAATCCGCTGATTTTCTTCCGCCACATCCCATTTCATGTTTCATCGTTCGATGTCAGCTCATATAAACTCGACAAAACAAATTTGAGTGCCAAAAAAACTCGGTCCCTGTAAATAGACTCTAGTCTAAGTACAACCCACAAAAATGTACACATTTTTTAACAACCAAAATTCCAAATCAAATTGAACATCAACAAGTTTACTACTAGAAATAGTGACGGAGATTCAATCAATCAATGCTCACGATCAAGACGTGTTAATTAAATACATATTTTACTATAAAAAAGTCAGGAAAATTTAGAATCACATTGATTCAGCAGCCCAACCCCATTATTTACTGTGTATGAGGAACGAGTAGATCTACACCATGGGCCCGTTCCTAGAAACCGTCATAAGTCTAACTTCTTGACTATCCCATTGAAACGTGTGTTATAGAATTAACACGCGTTTCAATGGGATAGTTAAGAAGTTAGACTTATGACGGTTTCTAGGAACGGGCCCCATATGTTCACGAGACAGAGAAAACGAGACAGAAACAAAAACTAACAAGAGAATGAACATGTGGGGCATCGACAAAATTTGTTGAAGCAGAACCTTATTCAGAATCAATCAAAATTACGGCTTTGCAGCTTATTCTCACCTTTTCCTTTTGCCTTTGCTCCTCCTTTCGCACCTCCTCCCTTACCACCTCCCCCTCCGCCACCCTTATTTTTAGGCATTTCCACAAGAAAATAAGGTAAACAGTACGCTTTTAGCAAAGTTTGACTCCTCTTTTGCATCAAGTAAACGTACGCTATAGCTTAAAAGACAAATAAAAAAAGAAAAAGTGAAAATTCGACAAGGGATGCGGATGGGGGAGTAATATAGCCTATATAATAGGCATGATAAGTTTGACAAATCGAGGTAGAGATGGATTGGGGTGGATGGGCCATGATATTTGAGATTTTTTTTTTTAATTTGGTGGCGTAGATACAGGGGCACACCCTCTCCAAACTTAATGAAGACAAATACAACAAATTAAAAAAACGAGAAAAATGTGAGAGAAGAAGATAACTAGGAGGCCGAGAAAAGGGACTCTCATCGGGTTCTGCTCGGAGCAGTATAGAGGCCACGTATCTCCTACGTATGTGATGACATTTTAGATAAAGAAGTAAACAAAGATCTTTTCTTACAATTATACACATTGTTGTACGCAGATGACACCCTTATATTGGCTGACACAGCAGAGGAATTGCAAGTGGCTTTGAATGCCTTGTCTCAATATTGTAAAATTTGGAAGTTAAGTGTTAATGCTATGAAAACTAAAGTACTTATATTTTCAAGAGGCAAAGTACGTAAATTTCCAGTTTTCAGATTTGGAGAAGATGAAATTGATGTTGTGGATGATTTTGTATATCTTGGGGTTCAGGTTAATTATAATGGAAGTTTTAAAAAGGCTATTTCAAAACAGGTATCACAGGCCAGGAAAGCCCTCTTCTCTATGTCATTAAAGGTTCAAAGACTCACACTGCCACTGGATATTCAATGTGAATTGTTTGACCAACTTGTATTACCAATACTCATTTATGGATGCGAAGTGTGGGGATATGAAGATCTGAGTCAAATTGAAATATTCCATAGAAAATTTCTCAGGTCAGCGTTATGTGTAAATAAATTTACACCAGATTGTATGATATATGGAGAAACTGGGAGGGCATGGCTAGCTAACAGTATCAAACATCGAATGGTTAGTTTCTGGTTAAGAATAGTAAAAGGTTCTCCCTCTAAATATTCAGTCAAATTTTATTTTTTGCAAAGGTTAATTAGTCAGAATGTAGATATGTCTACTTCTTTCAAGTGGTTATCTTGTATTGAAAAAATATTGAACCCTGCTGGTCTTGGTATTGTTTGGCTAAAGCAAGGGGAAGGATTTAGCAATAGTTGGATACTGAGCACTCTGAAGTTGAGATTAAACGATATTTCAAAACAAGATGTGATGGCAACAATCTGGACAAACAGTGTGTGCCTAAATTATAGGATTGTCTCTTTGAAAGGTATTTAGTTTTGCTGAGTAAAAAAGATAGAATAACACTGAGCCGTTTTAGATGTAGGTCACACCGTTTACCAATTAATAATAACAGATTCAAAGAAGCTGTTAATGAAATTAGTATTGAATGCCCATGTTGTGATATGCATGAGTCTGGTGATGAATTCCATTATGTTTTTGTATGCCCTTTTTTCAGAAAGGAAAGAGAGTTATATTTAGGTCGCAAAGTAATAGTTAAACGCCCTTGCACATCACACATGTTGAATTTATTTTCATGTTCCGGTATAGGACAGCTGAAGAAATTAGTACTCTTCTTAAGGATAATAATGTCATATTTTGCTGGTCTATACATGTAAATCTGAACAATCCAATCATATGTCGCCTATAAAAGAAATGTTACAACCCGAAGTGGTAGGTTAATTAAGCAACCAACAATTCTTGATCTGTAGTACAGTCTTTCTTTAGGTCAAGTATAGTTTTCATGGTTTGTTTGTTCTTTTGTTCATTTTTTTGTTGTTAGTATACCGTACCCTGCCCGGTTTCCGCCCGATGGGCAGTTTTTCTCAGATAACTTCTCTGAAAATGAATTATACAGGCGCTAATGTATACCAATTTGTTGCCGAAATTCTAGCAAATCTAGCTATGCCATTCTTACGCCCGAAATCATAAGCGATTGTCCGTAGCGCGCCGTCTGCGTGAGGCATTTTCCTTGCCTAATTCCGCCTAGACCCGCCCTAATTCCGCGGCCCGATGGTGGGCGCGCATCAAAAGTATAGAAAAAGGAAACATCTCGGGTACACGTTAGGCCAAATCAAATTGCTTCCCAGTAGAATTCGATCTACATGTTATTTTGATAATTGATATTTCTTTCTTTATTTCTTCTCTTGCCTCTGTAGGCCTAATGCAAGTGCACTGTTATTTATCAGTTTCTGATCTGGAAAAACAATTTTTTACTGCCTTTGGAAAATCCTGCGACTTGTCTATGATGTTTTAATAATGTGTTCAGTCAAATCTTCAGTGTTCTATCGCTAATCGGGAGAGGGGAAGAAAAAAAAATCCACAATAACAACATTTTGTCAAAAAAAACTACCACTATTAAAGTAAACACTTTGGAAAGAGAGTAATGGCACTTCATTTTTTTAATTTTTTTTTTAAACTGCAAATTATTCTCGACATCTCTCAAATCTTGATTAAAAAATAAATTAGCGTATATTTTTAGGATATTGGTTGGAAAAGCATAGCATTTTCGTCATAGGAATTATCATCATCGCCGACATCGTCTTAATCATCATCATTACAATTTTAGGGTAGGCCTATGTGACGCAAATGTGGTTTCCTGTTTGATTATTTGTTCAAGACTTCAAGTTGTTGTGTTTTTTGTTTTCTAGTTGTTCTAAATTATGCAGTATTTTATGCATTCAATAATAATAGTTCAACTTGAAAGACAAAACTTTCCGAAATGATCTTGAAAACGAAGTCGTCGATTCACTTCCATGGCAAGTCAGTTTTTGCAAAGAATGTAGTAATAAACGGCAAAAGGGGGTGGTGGGGGGGGGGGGGCACCACCTTCACGTTTTTAGCCACTTCAACAACCAAAGAGGGTTGAAAGCTACACTGTTAAAACAAGTATTAAAAAACTGCGGGTTAAAAAATTGTTGATTAAAAAACGCTCAACCTTGGTTAAAAATGTAGTGTTGATTAAAATTTACTTTTAATCTTGCGTTGGTTAAAAACAGTGTTGATCAAAATTATTCCTTTTAACCTATGTTGGTTAAGTCTAAGTCGTTGGCAAAAATTGTAACCCAGCATGGATTAAAAACAAAATTCCGACAGTAATGATAGCCCCCTTCTGGTTAAAGTTTAATCAATGTTGATTAAAGTACTGGTCACGTGACCCAACGGAACGATATCGAAGCGCGTAGCTAGCGATCGCGCGCTCGACATACAAATAAAGTACATGCAAAGTACATGCAGTTTACGCGTGCGACAAAATTAACAATGGAGGTTGTCGCGAGGACCTGAGAAATGGGGGTTTGGACGGTCTTATCTCCGTGTTTTCAGGTAAGAAATTATTTTAATATTATCATCATCAATTCTAAGATTGTAAGGAAGAAGTGAAATAAGGTTCTTGCTCAAATCAAAAACGATTTGTGTCCTCTAGGCTGTACGTAGCTCAACCAATAAGTAACATTTCACTTGCACCGTGCACCTGGCTCTCTCGTAAGCACAGTACACACACACTCATCAGTCTGCAAGAATCTTCAACCGTGAAGGAGGCAGACCAAATTACAAAAGGAGAAGTGTAGGCCTATTACGGATCACCTACCCAAATTGCATGCATGAATAATAATCTTATTTTTTAAATCTAATTGTATCTAATTGTTTAAAACAATTAAATATAAAATAAGATTTCATCATAAAGTGAACCGTCTTTATGCATGCAATTTGGGTAGGTCATCCGTTACATTTACTGGCTGAGCTGAGCTACAACCTACGGGCCGGGACAAAAGGCGTTTTTAATTTGAGCAAGAACCTTATTTCACTTCTTCCTTACAATCTTAGCATTGATGATAATCATATTAAACAATTTCTTACCTGCAAACACGAGGATAAGACCTCCAAACCCCCGTAAGTTTAACCAACAGTGGTTATAACTGTAACCAAGTTTAACCAACATCGTGTGAATCAAAAAAGAATTAACCTACAATGGTTACAATTTTAACCAACGGCCCATGTAAGTTTAACCAACATAATGTGAATCAGCCCCGAACAAAGCATAAATAACCAACAAAAGATTAAATTTTTAATCAACAAATGGTTAAAGTTTAATCAACACCATTTTAACCAACATTGAGCAAATTTTTTAACCAATAATTGATTAAAATTTTTAATCAACCACAGGTTAAATTTTAATCAACAGGCTGTTGGTTAAAGTTTAACCAACGATTGTGTGATTCACCTGGTAATCCGTGGTTGATTAAAATTTTAACCAACTTGATTAAAAATTGTAATACTTGTTCTAACAGTGTAGTCTCTAAGTATTTTGCTGACATTACCGAGAACAACTAAATTCCTGCAATTTCTGCATTTTAGTGGCATCAACGTACGTAAAGGAGACCTCAGTTAAAAAGAAAGTTTTGGATTGAAAGTAAAAGTAACATCCGAAAATTGTCCTTCTCTAAATTTGGCACTATACCCCCACCCCCCCCCCCCCCACATTTTCTACATAATGCTACATGTTAAATTCATCCATTCATCTATTTATTTATTCAATATTCATTCATTTTTTTGCCGAGAGATATTTATGTTATGGAAGCAGAAGCGGATCTAGAGGGGGGGTTGGGGGGGGGGGGGGGGGTTGCAACACCCCCCAAAAAAAAAATCCGGGGACCATTTTTTTAAATCTTATCTTTTTTTTTAAACTTGTAATTTTATTTTATTCTATTTCTATGTATTTATTTCATTTATTATTATTATTATTATTGTTATTATTATTATTATTATTATTATTATTATTATTTCTTTTTGGGGGGGGGGGGGTTGGGCGAACAAATGTCACAGAGTCCCTTGCCCCCCCCCCCCCCATCAGCTTTTTTGAGGACACGGGCCACCGCCGAAGTGACAAGCTAGGCCAGCGTTGCCGATTCTCATCCCCAAAATCCCCACATTAAAAAAAAAAAAAAAAAAAAAAAGGAAAAAAAAAAGAAGAAAAAAAAAAAAAAAAAAGAAAGAAAAAAGAACGCACGCTGGAGAGAAACCCTTTCAAG